CCACCAAAGGGACCTATGGAGTCTAATACATTTGGGTGCACTAGTCCAATCCAGAGACAGAAATCAAAATAATACTTCTGTATCAATGTACACTCTTCTTTACAGATTGTAAGATAACTATAAAGAGACAAGTTGGGTAAATAAATAAAGGTTAGTAAGAAAATCTGTAGACTAAGGCAGTTTTGTGCAATTGCAAAAGTTAACATATTTTGCACGTTAATATGTTAAATATCTGCTCCATTTTAAGCTGGTGTGAGATACTAGTGAGGCAAACAGCAGTAGAAAAACTTTCTCTCACTGTACCCCAAAATGAGTCTTTTAACCTCTTATTTATTTTGACAAATCTCTATAAGAAAGTCATTCTTTCTGTTAAAAAAAGTCACTTTTTTTTTTCTAGCACAAAACCAAAATATTCTTATAGGAACCAAGCATTAACAGTAGAACTTTAAGGATAGACCCAAATTTTAAATAAAGATTCTAGATGTCTTCAATAAAGGGACAAGGCATGCTTTTAGAGCTAAACAATAGTATGACTATTTATAACATCATGCTACCTTTTGCATAACATGTCTGCTCAAGCTTCAGTATTAAAATGTGAAGTGAGGAGAAATTTAAGGTTTTATTACAGAAATCATAAACAGGAAGGTCAGTCCACAGAATCAAGACAATTTAACAAGACTAGTTTGATTTTATTTAATACAACAAATAGAAGACCTTGGGTAGCACAAACATAAGCATTTTACAACTAGCAAATAACCCACAGAGTGGTGTCCTCGGTTACAGGCCTGGAGATCAGCTTTGGAGAAACCCTCCAGTGGAAACTCTGCAGATGCACATACCTACCCAGGAATGCACATAGGCCACAGAGGTTACAGGCCAACTGGACAACACGAATAACAGTCTCTAAGTATCTTAAAAAATCTACTTGGGGCCTTGCTGTTGTGTGCTGTCTAGTTGGAACCAACCCATAGTTGATCCTCTGGTAAATTTTCAGAGGCAGTAATGATTTACTGCCATGATTATGGGAGGAGATTGCCCACCTCTCCTCTGCAGTGCAGCTGGTGAATTAGAACTATGTGCCTTTGGGATTGCTGCACAGCTTCTTACCACTAGGTCAGGTCTATTGTGGTAGTGTTGTGTACCATCAAGTCAGAATCGATCTACAGCTGATCCTCCAGCAGGTTTTCAGAGGCAGTTAATAACACGGGAGGAGAGTGCCCATCTTTGTCCCTTAGAGCAGCTTGTGGATTTGAGGTGCATGATTGTAGGATTGCACCTCAGCTTCTTGCTACTAGGCCACCAAAGCTTCCTAGATCTATATACACAAAACTACTCTGAAGGAATTGGCAAAAAACAAGGCCTCAAGAATTGGTGTAATACCAACTGACATATTTCAACAAACGGATGCAGTCCCGGATGCACTCACTAGGTTGTGCCAAGGAATCTGGAGGAAATCCACCTGGTCAACTGACTGAAAGTGATGCATATTAATTTCCGTTGCAAAAAAAAGGTGATCTAAGGTGATCTGATAGAGTGTGAAAATTATTAAGCAGTATCATTAATATCATATTCAAGCAAGATCCTATTGAGGATTTTCCAAAAACAATTCAAAGAGCACATCAACAAAGAACTTCCAGATGTGCAAGCAGGGTTTAGAAGGGGCTGTGGCACTAGGGATATTACAGCCTACGTCAGATAGATCTTAGCTGAAAGCAGGGAGTGCCAGAGGAATGTCTATCTGTGTTTTATTGACTAGGCAAAGGCATTTGACTGTGTGGATCACAACAAATTGTTGCTAACCTTGAAAAGAATGGGAATCTGAGAATAATTAACTGAGCTTATGCAAAAGCTATACTTCAACCAGGAAGCAGTTCTTTGAACAGAGTAAGGAATCACTGCATGGTTCAAAATCAGAAATGGTGGCATCAGGGAAGCACCCTAACTCTATACCTTTCCAATTTATATGTGGAAAAGATCATTTGGGAAGCTGCACTTTATGAGGTGGAATGTGGCATCAAGAATGGAGGAAGAATCATCAAAAATACGCATTATGTGGATGACACAACCTTGTTTGCTGAAACCAAGGAGGACCTGAAGCGCCTGCTACAGAAGGTCAAGGACTGCAGCCTTCAATATGGATTGAAACTCAACATCAAGAAAACAAAGATTCTCACCTATGGGCCAATTACAGCATAATTACAGGTGGTAAAGAGATAGAGATTGATAACAGCTTGAGCTTGCTTTGCTCCACAATAAGCACTCTTTGGCACCAGCAGTCAGGAAATCAAAATACAAATTTCACTGGAAAAGTATCCTGTTAGGGACCTCTCCAGAGTACTGAGGAGCAACGATGTCAGTCTAGAGACTAAAGTGCGCCTGTTCCAAGTCATGTCTTCGCAACTACTTGCTATGCATCAAAGAGCTGGACAATGAGTAAGATGATAGAAGATCGATGCCTTTGAGTTGTGATGTTGGAGAAAAGTATTGAACACACCGTGGACTGCAATGTAACAACCAGATTTGTCTTGGAGATGGTGAACTCGGGCTGCTCCTTGGAGGCAAGGATTTTGAAGCTCCATGTCACATACTCTGGGCACACAGCTAGGAGGGACCAGTTCTCAGAGAAGGACCTCATGCTTGGAAAGGTGTAGGGAGGGACAAGGCAGAAGAAGAAGACCCCAGATGAGATGGATTGACATAGTAACTGGGGTATTGGGGAAAGTGCCTCAGAGATTGAGATTAAAGGTATCTCAGAGACAGTGAGGTTGGCTCAGGATCGAGCAAGATTCAGAGCTATTGTACAAAAAAGTCACTATGAGTTGCAAGCAATAACTTATATAATAATGAGTTGCAAGTGAATAACTAAATTGGTTAGGCCAATGAAACCAGTTGTGTTTGACCAGAAGGACAGGCAGGAGGACAATGTTTTCTACTCTGGCTGTTAGAGTTGTCCAGGGAGGAGTTTTGGAAGACCTGGTAGTTTACAAAACGTGATTGAGACTAATCAGGTCCTTAGTGACAGTGTTAAACAAAGAACTCTTGCTTTCCTTTATAGCAATTCCATTTAAAAAAGATTCTTTTCAAAATACCACGTATAACTTGTTTTTTACTACTTATTAATAATAGTGTAGGACTTAATGCAGACAACTGTGATGTTAGGAAATTTGTGTTGCATTAAGACTATGCTTTTAAACCTTGAGAAGGTTTGAAATAAGCATGCTTGCTTTGAGTTGGCAAAAAATATTTTAAGTGCTAATATACTTTAAAAGAGAGAGACTTTACACATAAAATCTACCTTTTAAAAATTTACACAATTCAGTAATTTTCATTATGTTCACAAAGTCATGTAATAATTACTGCTTTGAAATTCCAAAAGGTTTTATGCAACCCACGGAGAAATTCTGACCCATCAGCATTCACTCTGCTTCCTTCCCTCCAGTCCCTGGCAACCACTAGGTATTTTACCCTTTTTAACTGAAGAGTGACGACTTTCCGTATTATTGCATATTATATTTTACTTGCTGTTGTTGTTAGGTGCCGTCTAGTCAAGTACGACTCATAAAGACCCTATGACCATATCTGAACCCTGTTCTATCGTGCACCAGCCTTTCACTTCTTGACTCACAACAGCCCATTGTAGCAGTCACCGTGGCAATCCACCTGGTTGAGGGTCTTCCTCTCCTTCACTGATCCTCCGCCCTTCCCAGCATGATGTCCTTCTTCAAGGGACAGACCCTCCTAGCCACATACTCAAAGTATGTGAGGCAAAGACTCATCAATCTTGCCTCCAAAGAGTTCTCTGGCTGCACCCTCTCCAAGACATACCTGTTCGTTCTCTTAGCCATCCATGGGATGTCAGTGCTCTTCTTCAACACCACAGTTTAAAGACCTATCATCCTTATTCATTGTCCAGCTCTCACAGATATATCAAGTAATCATATTTTATTAGACAAATACTTAATCTAAATCATGGATTTTAGGATCCTTCTACTATAAAATACACACACACACATACACACACAGATACACAAATTTTTTTATCTCAAAATGCATTCTGTATACACAGAAACATATTTCTACTTCCATTGAAATATTAAATCTATTTTTAAAAACCCTAAATTCTGCTTATTTAAGAATTGAGAAAAATCAATACACTGGCATTAAAAAATCACAAATATTCAGAATTTCCTATTAACTGTAGGCACAGTGTCTCCCTTCTGCTGTTTAGTATCTTTTGGACTTCAAGAGGTGCCAAGGACAGTAGAACTTCAAGGGCACGCTGTGCATTTTACAGAGAAGGAAGCAGGGCTAGCACAAACCAGGGGCATGACTAGGGCCACAGAGCGAGGAAACAGTCACGGCAGCTGGAGTCCCATTTACCAGTAAGGACACTGTTGTTGTTATTTCTGTTGTTAGGTTATGTGACTCCCAGATGACCCTCTGGCGAGGGTCTCAGAGGGTGTGAATTACATGGAAGGAGACTTGTCCATCTTACTCCCTCAGAGTAGCTGGTCAATTTTGAATTGCCTGTTTATGGGGTGGGAATACCACGTGTTACCTCTAGGCCACCAGAGCTCAATTACTAGTGCACCAGCATCAAGTATTTTAAGTAAATGTTGAAAGGTACCTAACAAACTCAGCTACCACATGAATCTAATTATATCAGCCAGTTTCTTTTGTAACTTTTACCTGAGCATGTGATTTTTTAAAAAATAACTTTAAAAGCTTCACATTTTATCCTTTGAGGATCGGGCAAGGTTTCGCTCTGTCATATGGAAGGTCATTATGAGTTGTAGCCAACAAGACGGAGCCTTACAGCAATGAGAGGAGGACAGTTAATCAGTGGGCCCAAGTGCTCATGGAGAGCTGAAGTGAAGCTCTGGGTTTGCCCATACTGTAACTCCCAGTGGTGGAGGTGGAGGTGGAGAGGCACATCGCTGTATGTGAAATCCAGTTCACCACACGGAGGAAGGACTCATGGGCTGAGGCACGCTTCAGGTTCAACCATTACAACAATTCTTCATCTGTGCTGACTTTTTGGAATGGGGTCCAGTCAAGTTGGTAATTGATTTGCTGTCATCCTCGTCACCTCTTTTTTTCACTTCCCTAAATAGAGAGAAAGGATTACTGGAGAATTAAAACTAAACCCCAAAAGTCTCTGTAGAAAGAAACTAGCAATGCTGAGGGCTTGCTGTGTGTGATCCAGATATTGTTGGAAATTCTTCACAGCTGTGGACATGTTTCTTTCTCATAGGGACCATGAGAATTCAAGTGCAAACCTATAACATTCTTCTAGCGTAAGTACTATGACACTATACTGTGGTGGAAGGGATCCTATTTGTATCATGTTATTAAATCTAAATCAAGAACTTCACCTGTGAAGATGTCAACACTCCCACTGTACAACTTAGGTACTCTAGCCAACAATTCTGAAGGAAATGTTAGGCTCCCTAGAAATATCTATGACTCATAGCAACCAAGAACACACAAAAAAAGATGATTAACAGATCTGATCCTTGCCCTGTCTTGTGCCACCTTCCCAACCTCTGCATGCCCATTACTGCACTCAACTGTGTCAGTCTGTCTTGTCTTTTCTGTGTCTCCATCTTTCCCAAAGACTGGCCCGTCCTGACAACATGCCCCAAAATGTGTGAGATGAACCTTCACCAGCCTTGCCTCTAAGAAGCACCGTTGCTGCACTTTCTCCAAGATGGACTTGTTTGGTTTTCTAGCCACTTAATGGGATATTCAATGCTCTTCAACAACACCATGCTGAAGGCAGAATACAAAGCAAATTAAAGTTTTTCCATATTTCCTTAATAATTTCTGTACTTGATACGTCACTTATAACCAAGCTACTAACCTCAGTTCAGGCCATAATACAATAATAATACATTTTTTTAAAAAAACAACAAACCCACAACCCAATATTCTTCATAACTGATTCACAAAAACCTTGTATTTGTCTAAAGCTTAAAAAACCAACAAGCTCCTCTTTGTTCATGTCACAGCTGAAGTGCCCTTGATATAAAAACGCCTTTGTGTGCCATGTATGCCAAGTAAACACATAGTCTGTGCCTAAGCTGCTGCAAACTGGGTCAGTCCATGGGCGGGCCCAAAGTGCCATATGAGCAAATGGACCGACTGGCACAAGTAACTTACAGCCTCACCCATTTTTATGATAAAATAAAGAATCGATTTTTCTCTCAGGAAGTAACCAGGGTACTCTGGAGAACTTAAATTAACTATGACTCCACATAACAATTTCATGTTAAAAAGAATTATGTTATTCAGAAGAATATAGGCTATTACAGATAAAATCCAAGCATGCTGTCCTCTCCAAGGAATAGCCTCTCCACATAAGGGATGTCTAATTTAAGATATACAAATTGGTTTTGGAGGAAGTGCAACTGGTGTGCTCTATAGAGACAAAGATGGTAAAACTTTGTCTCATGGACTTTGGGTATGGTGTCTGAAGGGTTCAGTTCCCTTAAAAAAGCTATTATGCAAGAGAAGGAAATAAAAGACATCAGAATCAGCAGAGACGGTTAAACTGTCACTATATGCTGATGATATGATAGTGTACACAGAAAACCCCAAGGACTTAACAAGAAAACTATTAGCACTAGTATAATTTAGTAGAATGGCATGATATAAGATCAACATCCAAAAATCAGTGGGATTCCTCTAAAGTCACAAAGAAAACTCATAGAAGGAAACCAAGAAATTACTTTCATTTACAACTGCCAACCACAAATTGAGATACTTGGGAGTTAACCCACTTAGAGATACAAAAGACCTATACAAAGAAAATTATAGAACATTTCTGCAAGACACAGAAAAAGACCTATAGACATGAAAAAATGTGTCCTGTTCATGGATAGGAAAACCCAATATTGTAAAAATGACAATTCAACCAAGAGCAATCTACATGTTCAACATCATTCTAATACAGATAAAAAATTCCTTTTTCCTAGGGGATCAAAAGGGAAATTGTAATGTTTATTTGGAGAGGAAAGAGACCCTGAATAAGCAAAGCACTTCTGAAAACAAAAAGAACTTCCTGATCTCAAAACCTATTACACAGTGGTAGTAACCAATACAGCATGGTACTGGTACAATGACAGGCACATAGACCAATGGAATAGAATTGAGAACCCAGAAACAGACCCAGCTATCTATGATCAACTGATATTCGATAAGGAAATAAAACCTATCAAATGAGGAAATGACAACCTCTTCAACAAATAGTGCTGGCAAAACTGGATTTCCTCCTGCAAAAAGCTGAAAAAGGATCCATGTTTCACACCCTACACAAAAATCAACTCAAGGTGGATCAGAGATCTGGGAGTAAAGCCCCAAACCATAAAGTTTAAAAGAGACAAACTGGGATCAAGTTTAGAAGCACTAGTCCAAGGTATACAGGGACCGCCCAATACAACCAGAAATGTGTAACCTGAAGAGGATAAAACTGATGAATGGAACCTTCTAAACATTAAATCCCTGTGTGCATCAAAAACTTCTTCCAACAGGATGAAAAGAAAACCTACCAACTGGGAACAAACATTTGGCAATACCAGCTCAGGCAAGAGTCTTATAATGAAAGTTTATAGAATACTCCTGGGCCTCCACAAGAAAGACTGATAACTGTTGGGGAATGCTGGGGAGGAAGGGAAGGCCTCTAGCCAGGACAGATCACCTAAGCTCTAGATAAGTGCAAGACTCCCGGAGGCCTTTAATACGGGGCAGAGAAAGCTCCCCTGTGTTTGGCTGTACTAGTTTGAGAAAGCTCACCACGTGGGAAGATAGCTGCTGCATGTGTTGAGCTGGGAGTGGTCCACCTGAGGCTGAGGTTCTCCTAACCAATCCACATGTCCCACTCTGTAAACCCACTCCATCCTGTTTTCCAGTTTACATGTTTGTATGTAAGTGCACTGCAGTCCCCAATAAAATTGGGCTGGATTGACTCTCTGATCCTCTTCCAGAGTGGTGTATCTCCATCGTGCTTACCCCCATCAGGGTGTTGCTGTTGGGAGCCAGGGATGGACAACGACAGATAACCCAATTACAAAATGGGCAAAAGATATGGAAAGAATTTTCAGGGGATGATATTCAAATGGCCAACAGACACATGAAAAATGCTCAAAATCACTGGCAATGAGAGATGCAAATAAAAACTACACTGAGATACCACCTCACACCAGTAGCAGTGGCAAAGTTTAATAGGACAGCAAGTAATAAATGCTGGAGACAATGTGGTAAGGAATTCTTTTACATTGTTGGTGGGATTGTAAAATGGTATTACCACTCTGGAAGGCAGTTTGGCACTTCCTCAAAAAGCTGAACATAGAGATGCCATATGACCCAGCTATTCCATTGCTTGGAATATATCCCAAGAAAATGAGAACTGAGGCACAAATAGCGACTTGTACACCAATGTTCATAGCAATGTAAATCACCATTGCAAGAACATGGAAACAGCTCAAATGTCCAACAACAATCAAATGGATTGAAAAATTATGGTACATTCACATGACTGAATTCACACATAGGAATTGCACATAGGAGCAATGATTTTGTAAATTACTACCTAAGTTGGGAGGGACTGGAGAACATTGTGCTAAGTGAACTAACTCAGTCCCATAAGGACAAATACTGTATAAGACCATTATTGTAGAATGAATATGAGGATCCAAGGAGTGGAAAGGGTGGGAGTAAAGAGGTGAGGAGAGGTGGGAGGAACATAGGGCTGCAAAATTCAATGAGTGAGGGGGTGAATAAAATGGGAAAGATCTGGATATAAAAACAATGTATATGGACTTTGTTAAGGGAAGCAAGGAGAGAAGGAGGAAGGGAGGCTCTGAGAAAAGACAGGAAGACCCTCAGCAACAAAGACTGATAGGGTGACTGTAACAATGGACTCAAGTATGTCAGAGATGATGAGGATGGGATTGAGGATGGCAAGGTTCAGCTTTGCTGTTCACAGGGTTACTAGGAATTATAGTTAGCCCAATGACACCTAATAACAACAACATAAGGATAAGGTGAGGCAGTGGTAGTTTGTGGTCTATTCTCACCCTCCTAAGAGGAGCCCAGGTTTAACATAAACACGTAAAGGCAGTGCCAAGGTGCCAGTGGAGCCTTACGTACTGCTCTGCTGTTGAATAGGCTACAGTAGGGCTTCCACACTAAGATGGACTAGAAAAAAATGCCTAGTAATCAATTTCTGAGAACTAGCTAAGAAAATCCTACAATCACAAAGATCTGATCCATACTTGATTATGGTGATGGCACAGGGCTGAGAAGCATTCTAATCTATATACAGATTTACCAGGAATGGGTACTAACTGGATGGCAGGGAAGAACAAAAAAACAATGTTAAGCTGACCTTGTTCTAAACCTGGCAATCTGTTTCCTGTTTTCTTTGAAGTGACAGGAACAACACATCCCAAGGCCATACTCTAATTATTAACAGAACTCTATTTTATTAAGCACTACAAACACCACTATATTAATTTAAAAATAGTGCAAAGCGTTTTAGTTCTCAATGCATATTATTAGCAGAAGAGGCTGATTATCCCATTAAAGTTCAGACTTTTATAAAGGCTCACAAATAATCAGTAAAAAAACTACACACATACAAAGCATTTCTTTGTAATTAAGGATTGCTGGCCTGGTGTATGCTAGTATGTATTCCAGCTTTGGGGTATGTATTCAATTCCTTTAGGCCAGTCAGGAATCAACTTTCCATTTGTGACAGAAAACTGAGCAGGAGGGATCAATCTAACAGATGTTATTTTCTTAGGAAACACAACCAGGAATTAACATACATTTACACCCAAGATCTTTAATGATGAAATTTTCGCCATAATCCACATACCATATTATCTGTTACTAGCAATACTATCTTAGCTTAATAATTACCAAGGTAATAACTTGATAAAAGTGTTTTCAATTGGCACAACTCAGACTTTTTTCCCCTTTTGTTAGTCTAAAAAATGTCATACTATACTAGTTGTATTTAGAACAGTCTCTTATGTTTAAAATCTAGTTCCTAGAAGTGAGTCATACAAATCAACCATTAGCTTTGTAGTGACACTTTTCTGAAATATCAATGGCACCTCAGATGTACCTGCTTTGTTTAGCAATAAAGAGATGCCTGCCAATGTTCACAATGTATTAACATCACACTTTTAGCCACTTCTACCATTAATGAAGAGCTTTAGTGGCCTAGCAGTAAGAAGCTGTGCTACACACAATCCCAAAGGCATACAGGTTTGAATCCACAGCTGCACCAAGGGAGAAGAATGGACAATCTCCTCACATGATTTACTGCTTCTGAAAATCGACAGGAGGGTCAGCTATGGGTTAGTTCTGACTCGACAGTACACAACAGCAACAACCATTAACAGCTTGAATAGACTGAATAGAATTCACTTGCTATGCATCTGAGAGCTGGACAATGATTAAAGATGACAGAAGAAGAACTGATGCCTTTAATCTCTGGTGTTGGAGAAGAGTACTGAATATCTCATGGACTGCCAAAAGAACAGATATGTCTTAGAGGTGCTGCTACAGTGCTCCTTGGAGGTAACGGTGATAAAGCTTCATCTCACATACTTTGGACATGCTGCTAGGAGAGGCTATTCTTTGGAGAGGGACATCATGGTAGAAAAGGTGGAGGGACAGTGGAAGAGGTAGATGCTCAACTAGATGGATTTGCACAGTGACTGCAGCAATGGGCCTGAGTGTGTCAGAGACTGTGTGGAGGGCAGAGTTAGGACAGGTTCTGCTCTGCTGTTCACTTTGAGTCATGCTCGACTCGATGGCACCTCACAACATTAAACCATTAATAAGAGCTGCCGGCTGCTACTTTATCATGATGAGGTGGTTTGTATGTTCCTATGACAAGGGACGCAATGCCACAGTGTCTGAAAAGCAATCACAGTCACTCAGAAGTTTCAACAAGGCTTCCTTCCAGACTGAAAGAAGAAAGGGCCAGTTAACTACTGAAAATCTCTGGAGTCCAACCAAGTAGTGGGCAATACGCTGCTGCTGTTGTTGTGGATCGTCAAGTCAGAACCATTACTGACCCTCCAGCAGGTTTCCAGAGGCAGCTTATTGCACAGGAGAGACTGCCTATCTTTCTGGGGAAAGCTGATGGAGTAGCTGGTGGATTCAAGTTGCACACCTCTCCACTGACAGTGCAATTCCTTGGGAAAATGAGCCTCCTAGTCTAGCAGTGCTGTGGGTGAGGCATTTGGCTGCTATCTAAAAGTTTGGAAGTTTAAACCAGCCACTTCAAGGGACAAAGATAAGAAAATCTCTTTCTGTAAAAATGTATAGCCTTGGGAACTTAAGGAGCATTGGTACTTTGTTTTATAGGGTCACTGCAAGATGGAATCAACATAATGGCTTCACTCACTCACTCCTGTTGAGTCAATTCTAACACTTAGCAACCCTTCATCAGCTTCCCAAGGTTGTAAATCCTAATGGAAGGAGATTGTCCATCTTTCTCCCATGAAACCACCAGAGAAGCTCAGCCTTAGCAGCTTTAGGGTCAACAGTGCAACACACTATCTATAGACATTACTACAAGAGCTTCTTGAAACTATGGCAGTGGCTTGGGGTGTGTGTGTTCAGGTTAGAAGACACTAACACAATAGTCAGAATGATGGACTCCAATGTGAACTGTTTTCAGTGATTATGAAAACAGCAGCGCCTTAGGCAGCATTCCATTATATATACTGCGATGAGGTTGCCAACTCTGGTCTTAGGAAGTGAGCTGCCATCCCAAAGGAGGTTCTTCTCTGCTGGTTCAAATCCACCAGCGGTTCCAATGGAGAGAGATGGGCAATCTCCTCCTGTGTAATGTACAGCCTCCCAGAAGCCCCTGGTGAGCTCTGAGTCAGTTCTAACTTGATGGCATTGGGTTGGACATCATTAATCAAAGGCAGTGCTTCCCACTGTATTTTAGAACTGATTGTTATGGTACAAAAACTTTGATACATGCATCAACTAAATAAAAATTAATCCAAAACCCATTTTTCCAAATGCAAGGTAAAAACTCTACCGAGCAAGATGCAGAACAGCTTCTACTATATTCGAACCATCTTTGGCACTTGTTTCACAGAATAATGCTCCATAAGTCTGTTAAAAAAACACACATGAAATTAAGTTAAGGCTTTAATTTGGTTTCCTGAATTTTTTCTTTAATCAACATAATAAAAACTATGAAACTTTGATCTGTTGAGCATGCTAAAGGTGACAAACAAACTGCTGGGAAATTTAACTCTGTTTCAATATATTTTAAGAAATAACACAATTATCTTAGTCGTTCCAGGAATAATTCCTAGACAGAGTATTTTTATTTGGAATTGAAAATAAAAACTTTCCTTTTTAAGGTTATTATTTCTAATAGTAATCTCCTCTTGTGCAATTACTGTGTCTGAAAACCTCCTGAAGAGTCAGCTATGGGTCAGTTCTGATTTGATGGTACAAAACAATAACAACAACAATACACAAATACACACACGTTAAATGTTCTTTTAACAAGTGAAAAGATAACCTAAGACAACCCACTCAAGAATTAAATTCCCATCAAAAGTATGCATCCTCCAGGTCAGCAGCTGGCATGCATCTGCCTTCACATTACCCTCTTTACTTATCAGGATCTAGCAAATGAATAGATATATTCTAATCAGCCAGTCAGAGGCCCTTAAGCCAATTCCAATTCATAGTATACTCATCTGTGTCAGAAAAGAACTGTCCTCCATGGGGTTCTCAATGTCTTTTTTTAAATGGTGTAGTTTGGAAGCTCTTGTGTAAAGCAGCTGGATTCTGGAGGGTAGGCTGTTTTGATTTAATTGAAAATCGGGTATAAACTGGTCTTTTTTATTTTGTTAACAATCAAGTGTAAGCTGATTGGTAGTCTGAATTTTGTTAACAATCAGCTGTGAACTGGAAGCTTTTTGGTGGGCAGGCCTTTGTATTTAGAAGTCAGTCTGGCCTGGTGATACTCGTGTTTGGGAAAAACATTATTCTAAGTGGTACAGCTCTTGTCTATCAGTTTGCTGTACTGAGATAACTTGGAGTTGCTGTGATACTGAAAGTTGTGCCACTGGTGTGTCAAGTGCATGGTGGACAGGGTTTAGTGGAACTCGCAGAATAAGACAGACTTGGAAGCAGGATTTGCATTCACTTCTTAAATAACAGGCCTCTGAAAATCTATGAACACTAGAGAAATAACAATAAAGAACAGGGTTCAGCTCTTTTGTTCATAGGGTCACTATGAATGATACTCAACAGCACTTAACAATAACAACAACTGTAGCATGATCCACAGGAAGTTGTGTAACAAAAAGATGGCATGTCATTGGCAGTTTGAATAGGCCAGGGGCTCAGAGGGAAAAAGATGTGAAGTCTCTTTCAGTTGTGATTTACATACTCGGAAACCCACAGGAGAGTTGCTATGAGCCATAACTGACTCAATACATTAAGGGAGATAATTATTTCTAGAAGACTGCCAGGCCTTACTTCTGAGGTGCCTCTGGGTGTACGCAAACTTTCAATTTTTCAACTAGAAGCTGAGCACATTAGCCATTTGCATCCCCCAAAATTTAGATACTAGATAGATAGAGTGATTGAGAGAAAGAACAACATGGTCCTTTCATGAGCTGAGAAGAGACAGTAATCAGACGAATACTGAATCAGCCCGTTACTTTATTAACTTCTTATTTAACCCAAGGTAGACATGAATCCATGTACAGGTAAGACAATCCATAAGAAAAGTTCGGTAGCATTCTGACAACAGGAGAAGCATATGGCCCAGGACAATAATGAGCTTCACCCACTATACGTTTTTGGCACAACTAAAAAGAATTTTAGACTATTCCAACTAAGCTTATATCTTGGAAGAAAAAAAGTATCTCCTAAGTTCCATCTCTCCAGCTGAAATCTTGTACCATTCTCTGCCCCTTAATATAGGAACTTTAGGTATTAACCTTTCTATTTAAAATAGGAAAATCATTCATTTTTCTGTAATTGGATTCCATTACTATCGAAGAAAGATTGCAGACAACAGTGAAAGGCAGAGTGAACTCCAAAGGTCTCTTCCAATTCGGACCTGCCCTCACTCTTACCATGGCCAGCTTTTCTCCAAAGTATCCTGCGACACATTTTTGGCCCTCAGCAGTAACATCATCACGAAGATCAGCCTTGTTTCCTACCAACATGATAGGAATACTCTCCTGAGTTGCATCCTACCACAAAAAAAGAAAAGAAACACACATCCATAAGTTAGTGGACTGATGATCTTACTAACAGTAGCCACAACTACTATTTTCCAGATAAATATTGTGCCACTTACATATCGTCAAAATATTCCTAAAAGTAAGTATATTTTCCCCACTTATAAATGAGAAAACTAAAATTCAGAGTGGTTAAATACATACACCAGGGTCAAAGTCTAACCTTGCTTCTCCTTGATCCAACAACCCTTTCTGCTATACAATACTTCCTCCTTAGGTTAATGAGAAAGTTAAAGGTATTGTGAACTAATCCTGTTTAAAGCAAAGGAAACATCTATCTTCTGATTTCTTGTTTACAGTGCATGGAGCATTAAAGGTCAATATATATTGAAGACACATGGTGACAGAATTATCTTTGTCTGAGGAGTTTACATAATTTCTACAATTTTCATTTCATACAAGGGTGATTACAAGGCAACTTCATGATCCCAGGTGTAAAATGTGTAAATAATCCTGCAATTATACCAGAAGGAAAACATAGTCTACAAATTCTATACTCACTGCTACATGGTTTATGCCAAAGGAAAAGCAGGATGGTCTTACACTTCAACATTTTTGTTCTGTGCTATCACCAGACATAAATTATTTGAGGTAATAAATTATATACTTAATGTTCCCAAAAAAGCACATGCAAATCATTTACACTTTCCTAGCACTCAAGTAAGACGTAAGTGGCAGATATAATTTTCAGCCTCTACCCCTCTTCCACTGGTCCACCCACTGGCTCTGCCTTGTCACACATAGGTTTCAAACCTCCCATCTGTAGAATGAAAGATTGAATTAGAACACAACCCACATCCTTGGGCTATGACTTCAAGTAAAGATAATACCTGATTGCACAGAAAGCTTCCAGTTCTAAACAAGAGAACACACTGACAGAGACTTCTGAAAATTATTCTCTGTGTAGGAACTGGGAGTGATCACACTCATCAGCATAGAGTCATCTACACTGTCCCTACAGAATTCCCTCAGACGGGTAAAGCTGAGTCACCAGTATGGTTCACCACGCCCATCACTCTTCTAATGTCAAAGCCAAATTATTAGGTGGTATCCAAATTTCCTTTCATAAATATTCAAGTATTCTTCTCTTTCAAACCCTATAAAATGACACCAATAGCTGAAAAGATTAGTTGTTGTTTGTTGTTATGTGCCGTCTAGTCGCTTGTGACTCATAGCGACCCTATGTACAACAGCCCTAAACCTTGCTCTATCCTGTGCCAGTCTCACTGCCTCCAACACATCCATCCTGATTACCCCAGTCACTGAATCAATCCACCTCATAGAGGGTCCTCCCCTCCTGCGCTGTCCCTCCACTCTGCCCAGCATGATGTCCCTCTCCAAAGACCTGTTTCTCCTTACAAAATGTTCAAAGTATGTCAGGCGAAGCCCCAGAATCCTTGCCTCCAAAGAGTAGCTTGGTTTAACCCTCTCTAGGATGAATCTATTTGTTTTCTTGGCAGTCCATGGTACATTCAGGACTCTTCTCCAGCACCACAGCTCAAAGGCGTCAATTCTCCTTCTATCCTCCCTAGTCATTGTCCAACTCTCTGATGCATAACAAGCGATTGCAAATACCATGGCCTGTATCAGGCGCACCTTAGTCTCCAGAAAGACACCGTTGCTCTTGAGTACTTTAGAGAGGTCCCTAACCACAGACTTTCCCATCGCAATACGTTTTTTTATTTCCTGGCTACTGGTGCCAAGAGTGTTGACTGTGGAGCCGAGCAAACTGAAGCTGTGAACAATCTCAATCTCTTCACCATCCATCCTGATGCTACCGATTGGTCCAGTGGTGAGAATTTTTGTCTTCTGGACATTGAGCCTCAGTCCATATTGAAGGCTGCAGTCCTTGACCCTCTGCAGTAAGTGTATGAGGTCCTCCTCAGTTTCAGCAAGCAGGGTTGTGTCATCTGCATAACGCAGATTGTTGATAGATCGTCCACCAATCCTAATGCCACGCTTCTCCTCATAGAGCTCTGTCTCTCGGATAATCTGCTCTGCATACAGGTTGAAAAGGTATGGAGACAGGACACATCCCTGGTGTACACCCTTCCCAATTTTGAACCATGCAGTGTTGCCCTGCTCTGTTCTGACTACTGCCTCTTGGTCCAAGTATAGGCTTCGCATTAGCATGAAAAATATTCTGGGATTCCCATTCTTCTCAGAGTCAGCCACAGTTTGTTATGATCCATGCAGTCAAATGCCTTTGCATAATCAGTGAAACACAGGTGGACATTCTTCTGGTATTCTCTGCTTTCAGCTAAGATCCACCTAACATCAGCAACAATATACCATGTGTAAATGCTCAGCATGTAGCAAATTTTGTGCACCTCCAGGCATTGCTATGGCTGGTAATGCTATGTGAAAGCCATCCCTTCCTTTATTTTTAGATAAATCATATTATAATGTAAAGATTTAAAATGAGGCTTATTGTTATTGTTGTTATGTGCTGTTGAGTCGCGTGCAGCTCATAGTGATCCTATGTGCAACACATCTAAGGCAGTCTCACTGACTCCAATACACCTAGCCCCATCACCCCAGTTACTCTATCAATCCATCTCATCCAAGGTCATCTTCTCTTAACGCTGTCCCTCCACCCTTCCAAGTATGAGGTCCTTCTCCAAGGACTGGTCCCTCCTGGGCATGTGCCCAAGTATGTGAGACAGGGTTTCAAAATTTTAGCCTCCAAGGAGAAACTTGGCTTCACCCTCTCCAAGACAGGCTTAAGTCTCAAATTTTCAACAAAAAGAGTTTTGTCATTGATTATTCTCTGGATCCACTGCTCTATCCCAGATAGCCTTATTTGTCCACTAAGTAGAAGCTTCTCTTCTCTTCGCTAACTTCACACAATAATTCCCTTATAAGAACAAAGCTTCTTGTATTAATCTGCTGTCTGTCTTGGTACTTCATAGAAGGAGCCACAAGTATTGAATACCAAGGGCAGTTCTAGTCCAGTTCTATTCCTAACTGCTAAATAACTATAACAAAGTATCACATAATTTCTATGCCTCATTTCCTCATAAAAACAGTGAGAATACGAATATATTTTTTACTTATTTCATAGTATGTTGATAGAGAAAAATGTAATAGAAAATTTTGTGAAATAAGTTATACAAATGTAATCACGCATTCATTGTGTTTATAATCATTTAAGCCACAGTATTTCAGTAGAACATGCATATTCATTTCTGTGTCTTGCTGCCAATTTGTAATTAGTCATTCCTCAGACTGCTTCTTTAATTAGAAAGAGAATACTGAGTCTCCTTTTTATGGGTATGAACTAGGTCCCATGGCAGAAATCTAGAGTCTAACTTAGATCACAGGTCAACACGTCTGTTTAGTTCTTATTATAAACTAGTATCTATTTAAAATTATAGATGGAAACTGATTTGAAAAATGCACACAAAGTTTTGTAAGAGAGACTGATGAATCAAAGCTTGACATTTAGTTTTCTTTTATTGTATGAAACACATTAAATGCAGTCAAAATCATTTCTTATTTACCAAAAGCTATTCACTAAAATGGCTTTTATTTAAAAAATGGAAAATAACAAGTGCTGGAAAAAATGAGAGACACTGGAACACTCATCCACTGTTGGTGGGAAACTGAAATGATGCAGCCGCTGTGAAAAATACTCTGCTGGGGACTTAGAAAGTTAAACATTTAGGGTCCGTATTGTTATTCTTAAGTACTATCCATAGGAACTGACCCATGGCTGACCCTGTAGTTGGTTTTCAGAGGCAGTAAATAATATAGGAAGAGACTCCCCGTCCTCCTCTTATGGAGCAATTGGTGGATTTGAACTGCATGCCTTTGGGGTTAGCAGCACAGCTCCTTATCACCAAGCCACCAGCACTTCAAAATGACCATATGACTTAGCAATTCCACCTCTAGCTGTGTACCTAAAATAACCAAAAATAATGACTCAACAAGATATATTAATCTCAGTTTTCCACAAAAACATTTATTAATACCAGGTAAAAGGTAGGAAGAACACAAATCTACCCACACAGGAATGCATAAGCAAAATGTGCTATATACATACAACATGTAGAACATGCTCTAGAAACATGTTCATATGTAAAAAAGAATGCTTTTCTGACACATGCTATGATATGGATAAACTCTGAAAAGAAATGCTGATTGAAATAAGCCAAATACTTATAAAAAACAAATAGTTATGCATAAGAAATATCTAGAAGAGACACATTCACAGACAGTAATTAGAGCTGTGGTTAACAGAGGCTCCGGGAAGCTGGGTTACTGCTCAGTAGGTTGCACAGGGGTGATGAAAAGGTTCTGGAAATAATGGTAATAGTTACTTAACACTGTGAATATCCGTAATGCTACCAATTTATACACTTATAGATGGACAAGACAGTTAATCTTATGCTATACATATCTTATCACACTAAAATTTTTTAAACTATGAAAATATAAAAGAAAGGCTCCATCTTATAGAACCAACTAAAATCCTAATCTGTATTTCAGTGTTTCGTGCGAAGGCTACAGATCCCAAGTCACCACCAGAGAAGGTTGAGAACACAGCTCCTGTAGAATCTGGGTCTCAGAACATGCTTACACCAAGAGGTATTTCGTGTGGGAACTCCTTCCCACAGCTTCCTATAAAACCACATGATTATGGAGCTAACTGGCACTCTTTGTGAGAGCTATTTTGTGTAGATTATCTGAGTTCTGATTTGATGTGTGAATAAATGCAGAAATTTCATTCTCAGAAACTCCCTCGGGCAGTGTCCTGGTCTTTGTGGGGTCTCAGTGACTAATGAGTACAACGCTAAGACTGCCCAGTGCCACTGGAGACTCTGCCTCTCACATCCAGGCTTTCCTGATAGCTCCCATCAGTGGCTTTGAATCAATTTCACCCAGAAGAAGAACAAGAATACTTTGGGAGATGCCCACAACTCCCCTGTGTAATCCTGCATCTCCATTTTGATTTCTTACCTCAATCATATCTACCCATTCTCGCACATTGAGAAAGCTCTTCTCACAAGTGACATCGTACAGCAGCAAAACACCATCTGCCCTTCTGAAGTAAGACTTTGCAATACTTCTGAATCTGGAAGAGAAAAGGCAGTTGTAAGTGATGGCTCCAGTCAGTCAGTTTAGGGCTGCCTTGTTTTTATCACTTGTGCTCACTTTATTTTCATCTTTAAAAGTAAGCGCATCCTGAGAAAATACAGCAGAAACATATTCCTGTGGGACAGCCTTCAAAGGGCAAGGCTGGGCCCCTGTAGCAGGCTGGGCTACGATACAGAAAAGCCAGCCAATGCCTCCATCCACAAGCCCAAGAATGTGGGGACACCCAGAGCTTAACCAGAAGGCTGAGAACAAAATTTCTACAACTTCCAACCTCAGCAACAAAAACTGGAACCCACATGACATAGGGTGACTGGAAGGAAATACATACTGGAGAAAACCCTTCTTGGAGTATGTGAGATTCCTAGAAAGCACAAAAGCTACCAGAAGAACCTCAGCAACAGCTCTGGTGATCTGCCACAGCTCTGAAAAGCCCATAGAGCCTGTGATTGCTGTCAGTCAGAATCAAGAACTACCAACGGTAAGTAGGGAGTTTATGAGCGGATGGGAGAAAATGAAACATTTGCTGAACATCATCATGGGCCAGAAGCTATATGTGTCGGGGATGGGAGGGTTTCAGTGATGACAGTGCATACCTCAACTTGTATATCTCTTCCCTAAAACAGAACACAGTATTTCATTAAGTTCATTTAAACAGGACAATGTAAACCACGGATACTTTTCAAATGTGGCAACTCTCACAATGTAGAGAATATGAACTTGATTGGGACAGGTCTGTCCAATTGTTCACAATTCAATGTGAGAATTCTTTTTTTTTTAAATTTATTTTTTTTATTATTAAATTTTATTAGTTTTAATGAACATTTACAGGGATTTTGGGTTTTCATTCCTTCATTGCTGCACCATTCTCTCTACCCTCCTCCCCAGTTTGTTCTTCTTCCCCGCCATCCGAATATCTGTTTTAATTGTCCAATTGCCACAGTGCTCGTCAAAGTCAGTTCTGATTAATCTCCTTTGTCAGTGTGTCCTTTGCCATTCCCTATCACTCCTCCCTGAGAGAGACTTCACCCTGATTCATAAGGAAAAGGGGATGGCGTATTCTCTTAGCTACTTCCTGCTGAAAAGGGATGCTGTGGGTTTCAGGGTGAAGATCTTCTCTCACTACTCTAAAGGGCCCCTTTGGCAGTAGGAAACACATAGACTATTATGGAGATTGATTTTGGAATTTAGATGCACTCTTATTGATTGTGCTTGGCCGTACATGTTCATATCCTTGAAGATGTATCATGGGGGTGTTGCAACCTAGAAGACACAAATTTGACTAACAAGTTATAAGTACATGAGTCAAAAATTATGGAAGAGTAAAAGAAAGGATTCTTTCATTGTTTTACAAAACCTCCCCCAGGTCCCCTCCACCATGTAGCCCTCGCTCTAGACTCCTGTGATGACAGAAATACCTAGTCATATATCTCTTTTAAACAGTTTTCTCCCTCCTCTGTTTCAGTGCAGTATACATTATTGAACCCATCTTACTCAGTCTCTCCCAAACCCCAAGGACAGTCCCATTCTACAACAGTGGCATCATGTAAGATTTGTCCTTTTGTGACTGGGATATTTCACTCAGCATAATGTTCTCCAGAGTCAACCATTTTGAATAATATTGCATGAGTTCATTGTTTTTTAATGCAGCATAGTATTCCATTGTGCGAATATACCACAGCTTCTCTAGCCATTCGTTTGTTGATGGGCACTTAGGTTGTTTCCAACTCCTTGCTATTGTGAACAAAGCTGCAATAAACATGGGTGTGCATATATCTGCTTGGATGTCAGCTATGGTCTCTTTAGGGTATATTCCCAGTAGTGGAATTGCTGGGTCAAATGGTATCTCTATTTGCAACTTTTTGAGAAAGCGCCATACTGCTTTCCACAGGGGTTGCACCATTTTACACTCCCACCAACAGTGAATCAGGGTTCCAGTTTCTCCACAACCTTGCCAGCATTTGTTGCTTGCTGTTCTGTTAAATTTTGCTATTTTGACTGGGGTGAGATGATATCTCATAGTTGTTTTAATTTGCATCTCTCTTAGGGCTAGGGATTTTGAGCATTTCTTCATGTGCTTGTTAGCCATCTGAATGTCGTCTTCGGTGAAGTGCCTGTTCATATCCTGTGCCCATTTTTCTATTGGATTATTTACCTTTATCTTGTTGTGGTGCTCAAGTATTTCATAAATTCTGGATATAAGTCCCTTATCTGATATGTTATTACCGAATACTTTTTCCCAGTCAGTGGCTTCCCTTTTTACCCTACTGGAGAAGTTTTTGGATGTGCATAGGGATTTGAGTCTTAGAAGAGCCCATTCATCTATGTTATCTTCTCCTGGTTGTAGGTTCAATGTGAGAATTCTAATGGTGCCTGGTACAAAGGCAGTGCCCGATAGGTATATGTAGCCCAACTGAATAGACTCTGTTCCCGAAGACTTGGACAAGGTAAAAAACAAATTATTAATGTTTCTGATTTTTTATTGTGAACGCAAAATAAGATTCCACGTGCGTTGTAATGCTAATTACTTTCCACTTCTGACCGTGAAAGAAGGGGACCTGAAAAGTCCCACTGTCCCAATGCCACTGTCTTTCCACGTGGCTTCTCAGGCTGTCACGGCAGTGTGCTTAGTCATCTAAATTCTGTCAGGGAAGGGTATGCACCTTCCCTCTAAAAACATCAGCTCAGTGAAAGCTCACATGGTTTTCGTCTTACCACACATGCACAGAAATGAAGAAGGAAAGCCTGAGATGTGGAAAATTCCAAGTATTTTGAAATGATAATAAATCTGAAGAATCCATTGCCATCCTGTCAGAACCACCTCACAGCTGATCCTACAGCGGTGCTTTAGATGCCATGAACAGCGCTGGAGGAGTTTGTCCATCTTTCTCCTATAAAACAGCTGGTGGATTTGAACTGGTAGAGAGGTGCTGCCTTTGGGCTAGTAGCACAACACCCTACTGACAACAGCACCAGACCTCTGCACACAAAAAGCATCAGACATCTTCTAAGATCAAATATCCTCATGAAGAGTTATACAGAACCCAAAACACGAGGGTCACTTACCTCTCCTGGCCAGCAGTGTCCCAGAGCTGCAGAACAGTCTGCTCTCCGTCTACAATAAGAGTTTTCATTTGAAAATCAACTCCTGAGAAGAAATGTAAGAACAGAGAACATAAACTTGAGTATTCTCATGGTTTTTCACTTTCAAATTTAGTTTATATGAGACAAAGCTCAGTGAAACAGAGAGGGATGAAGACTGTCTTCAAAGAGAGTAAGATTCACAGACCAATCCTAAATCAGACCACACACGTGAGTGGAGGCAGGCTGGCTGATAAGCCGATGGATTTAAACTATGAACAAAGTGGGGGAGAGGAAATGCATGTTTTTCAAACCCAGCTAACTAGTGGGAGATTATATATATATATACACACACACACACATACGTATATATGTACATAGATCCACAGGCATCTATGCGTGTACAGAGATAGGTGTAGATACCTGAGTGTTGTAAATGGTTAACTTGCTCAATGTTAAATGACAACAAAGACACCGTGGAGCAAGGCCTGGTGATTTACTGCTACTCTGGCAGCATGGGATTATTATGAACGAGAACTTACGTGGCACCAACCTGTCTATGTAAACATGTAGTCTTCTTTGTAGATAGGTGAATATGTGAAACACTCTCTAACAACTGAATCAAACTAAAGTGAGTATTTTGCCATATCATATTAAAGAATTTATCTGAAAACAATACATTTACAAACAAGGCCATTGTGAAGAAGGTAGTCTATATTAACATTTTCATTAATAAAAATAGAAACTCTTAAGATTTTTTTAAAAGATAATTTGCATAGCTTCAACTCATTTTGCCAATTCTTTTGCAAACTGGATGCCCCAAATCAAGTCAGCATATTGATTTTCGTCTTTGATCTGAGAGGTATCAGATTCTGTATTCTGCTGTGAAAGAGGGAGGGGAGTATAAATGTGGCTGTAATTTTGACCATAATGACAAACTGGTCACCATATGTATCACTGGGCAAATTGCAAATAATGTTGTTGTTATATGCCATCAAGTCACCAGTGACCCATAGCGACTCTATGTACAAAGCTCTGAAGCCTGGCCTGTCCTGAGCCAGTCTCACTGACTCTGACACAGCTACCCCATTGACTCAGTTACTGTATCAATTACTTTATCAAAAAGCCTTTCCTGTCATGGCCACCTTTTGTAAATCCTTCTGTCTCACACCAATCCTACTTTTGTTGTTGGTTTGTATGTACTTCCCTTTATTGGTCAGTTTCTAGAGGCTAGGATTTTGTCTGCTTTGTGGCTCTTGTACCCCAAAACAGTACTCAACTCGCTCAGAAATATTTGCTAAATAAAAAACCTGTTCTCTCAGGCTCTCAGCTGATTTGATTCTTCTGATGGACTCAGTGGATAGTCTGTCCATTGTCAGTCTTTCTTATCTAAAGCTGGGCCTTAAGCAGAGTAGACAAGGACTGCATTCAAGAGTACGGATGCACCTACAGCCTCTTGTTAGGAAAGCCCACCCACTACTTCTCAAAAAACGAATAGCACTATAGTACAGACCAGGAGATATATGTGTGTATGTAAGCTGACCGGCTAGTGAGTTTTCAGAAGTTGTACATTGCATGCGAGGGGACTGCCCATCCTCCTCCCACTGAGGAGCACGTGGATTTGTTTGTCAACAAATAGTGACAAAGAAAGACCTCGGTAGAGATCTACAGGCATATGCAATCCATAAAGACAGACAAAAGCAAAGTAAACCAGAGTCATTTTCCCATTATCAACTAAAACAGAAACCATACCCAGGGTGGCACTGGTATTTCCTTGAAACTCATTCTTACACAGTCGCATGAGGAAACTGGACTTCCCCACGGCAGCGTCCCCTGCGAGCACAATCTTGTAGGTCTTCTGCGAGCTAGCTTTCTGGCTGTCATCTGCCACATCTGTCTGGGGGGGAAAGCCACAGCTGGTGATAAAGGTAGTGTCGTTTTTCACCCTAATAAGTAGCGTCACAGAGAGAATTCACAGGATTAGGTGAACGGAAATGCCTCAGGGACTACCTACCTGTGCGGACAGTGCTGAAATTGGCTTTCTGGAACTCACAAAGTTGCCTTCACTCACAGACTCTGCAGGCTTCCAGTCCAAGACTGAACCATACATTTCCTCATCCCTTATCTCAGGAACCTGTTGGAAAAATTAACTATTAACAGCCAAAACAGCTTGTCTCACATATACCAAAACAAAAAACCCCAAGGCTCCTGCCATAGGGTTGTCTCTGACCCGTGGCGACCTCATGAGTGCAGAGCTGTGCTGGTGCTTCCACAGCTCTAGTCCTCAGGGAAGCAGAGTGCCAGGAACTGCTTCTCCCACGCCCTTGGGTACACTCACACCACCACCCATGAGTGTAGACAAAGTGGCTATGGCAACTAATAAGAATTTCTCCTGAACTTGTTACTGATAATGCTTCAGTTTGTGTTATGGATTCCCACAACATAAAAGTCAGATAAAAAAAAATTGAACTAACACAACACACACAAAAACTGCAAGTCTATTTCTATCGGATTAAGTCCAAATTGCAGGGACCCTACAGGACAGAGAAGAATGGCCCACAAAGTTTCCAGGGCTGTCATTTTAAAGCAGGCATCCTGGAAGGGTCACAAGGGTGGTGAGCTGCTTGTCTCTGGCAGTTGGAACATGATGTGACCCCACAGGAGAAGAATGGGAGTCTCCACCCATAAAGGCTTACAGCCTCAGAAGCCTGATGAAGGGTCAAACCTGCTCAGTGGCAGTGTGTCTGAGTTGTTCAATCTCATGGAGGCAGATTACACATCATTCTTCAGTGGAAACACTCATGGGTTGAAACCACAACCTTCGGGTTAGCAGCTGAGCACTCGCCCACTGTACCCCAGAGCTCCGCAAAGAGAGTGGGAGAGCCTAACCAGACACACGGCTTCGGAAAGCAGTGATCTCTGCAGCTTACGTCTGTATCTGAAGCATCGCCCCCAAAGCTCTCCTGCACACACTGGGACCTCTGGAAGCCCCTCTGGTGCCTGTATTCCACTTCGGAGTCATACTCGTTGGGATCTCTCAGGGTGGACAAGCCACTGTCGAAGCAGCTCTCAGGCAGGCTGTCCACTTCACAATTCATCCTCTGCATGGGGTCGCAGAGGGCCAGAGAGTCACAGTCCTCATCCATGACGGAAGAGCGGGATGACCTGGACAGAAAAGGGAAGAGGACCACTTAGCCTGAGGCCTCTCCTGCTGAGGACAGTAAGTAATACAGTAGTGGGATCAAGACATATTCTTTGTCACCAGGAGTCACAGTGTATTCCAAGATCATGGAAATAACATGCACAAGCACTATCACTGCGTCTACAAAACTACCAGGTCTCATTGCTGTTGTTCTTGTTATGTGCAATCAAGTTGTTTGCAACTCATAGCGATCCTACGTACAATAGCTCTGAATCCTTCTCTATCCTGAGCCAACATCATTATCTCCAACACATACAGCTCTATTCCATTACTCCCATCACTGTGTCAATCCATCTCATTCAGGGCCTTCCCCTCTTGCACTGTCCTTCTCCAAGGACTGGTCCCTCCTTGCAACATGTGCAAAATTTGTCATATGGAGCTTCAGAATTCTTGCCTCGAACGAGCAGCCTGGTCTCACCCTCTCTAAGAAGAACCTGTTTATTCTCCTAGCAGTCCATGGTATATTCAATACTCTTCTCCAACACCACAACGGCAAGGCATCAATTTTTCTATCATCCATAGTCATTGTCCAGCTTTCTGCAAGTAACTGCAAAGACCAAGACCAAGATCAGACACATCTTAGTCTTCACACTGACACTGACACTGTTGCTCTTCAGTACTCTGGAGAGGTCCCTGACAGCAGATTTTTTCCCCATGCAATTTGTCTTTTAATTTCTCAGCTGCTGGTACCAAACATGTTAACTATAGAGCCAAGCAAACTGAAACCATTAACAATTTCAAGCTGCATATCATGATGCTGCCAATCGGCCTAGTGGTTAAGAATTTTTGTTTTCTTGATGTTGAGCTTCAATCTATGTTATAGGCTGTAGTCCTTGACCTTCTGCAGCAAATGCCTCAGGTCCTCCTCAGTTTCAACAAGCAGTTGTCATCTGCATAATGCAAGTTGTTCATGGGTCTTCCTCCAATCGTGATGCCTCATTCCTCCTCATAGAGCCCAGCCTCCTGGATGATCTGTTGTTCCACATAAGGATTCAAAAGGTATGGAAATGAGATGCATCCCTGGTTATACCTTTCCTGCTTTTGAACCATGCAGTGTTTCCTTGTTCTGTTCTATTGCCTTCCTCCTGGTTCAAGTATAGGTTTTGCATAAGCACAATCAAATGTTCTGGGATTCCCATTCTTCTCAGAGTCAGCCACAGTTTTGTTGTGACCCACACAGTCAAATGCCTTTGCATAGTCAATGAAACACCGATAGAAACACAGACATTCCTCTGGTATTCCCTGCTTTCAGCCAATATCCATGTAACATCAGCTATAATATCCCTAGTAATAGAGCCTCTTCTAAACCAGACTAATGATAGTAAAAGAAAATATTTAATTAAAAAAATATTTTCATTACCTTTTTTACTGTCTGATTAAAAAGGAATTAGAAGCTAAATTTACTAATAAAGATGTATGTAGAACAAATGAACGCTTTTACTGCAATGTGGTTCAGTCATAAACTGAGAGAGTGTTCAGTTCTGGATAACGTGTCTACTTAAGAGAGTCATAGATGGGAAGCAGAGATGGGAGAAAGAACTGTGATAACAGGAAACTTCAAACCTCTAATATTAACAAATCTTTCAAAGGTTTCTCTCCTCCAACACATGAATATCTGGCACTTGAAGGAAAATACAGATTATACCAGATAAAATAAGGTGAAGGCAAACTTTTCTGGAAGTTAAATTCCTAGTGAACATGGTTAGAACTGGCAACACCTAGAAATGGATGATCCTGGAGAGTCAGTGAATGAGAAGCATTTTCTACCACCAACAACACATGGCTGTGGGCACCAACCCAAATGCATGCAATTCAAATTCATCAGCTACTTTGAGAGACAAAGATGAGCAATCTCCTCCTGTGTGATTTACACCCTCTGAAAACTTGTATGAGTCAGTTCTGATGAGAAAGCACATAACAACCTAACAACAATAATGCCCTGACACATAACCTGAAAAGATTCTTGTTAAGGAAATCTTACCTAGAGCCCTTGTCTTTCTTGGATTTTTCCATTTATAAAACTCCAAAGCAAAGAATTTAACATCAAGCAAGAAAATTTAACTATATACACATTTCCTATTGAACTTCTGTTCTTCCAATTGCTTTTCTTTAGGCTGTAAGCTTAAATGAAAGTTACAGCATGGACTAGGACTTACAGAGCACCTGCTATGTGTTGAACTTCATCAACTTCACATAACACACTCATTAGAAAGGAGCAGAGGCAATGTAGAGTCTCCAGATGTAGGAAGTTATCAAGAAATGGACATACTTAGAACCATGAAGATGTTCTCAATGTGATTAAGTGTAACCATGGGTATCAGAGAAATCAAAATTTTATTTCATTTTGTTGTTGGATGCCATTGAGTGTGACTCATTGCAGCCCTATGAACTTGACTGCTGTTCTATCCTCTGCCATCCTTATCATCTGACATACTTAAGCCCATTGCTGCAGTCACTGGATCAATCCACCTCGTCGGTGTCTCACTTATCCTCCACCTTTCCAGGTATAATATCCCTTTCCAAGGAATAGCTTCTCTTAGCAACATGTCCAAAGGATCAGAGATGAAGCTTTGCAATCTTTGCCTCAAAGAAGTACTCCAGCTTCAATTCTTCCAAAACATACGTTTGTTCTTTTGGCAGTCCATGAAGAGTTCAGTATTCTCCTCCAATACCAAATTCAACGGCATTCATTAACCAGATCACAGTACCAAGTGATCACTGTTCTTCAGTATTTTGGAGAGATTGCTGACAGCAGATTTGCCCAAATCTCCTGACTGCTGTTACCAAGAATGCCGAGTGTTGAGTCAAGTAAGCTGAACTCATCGACATCTTCATTCTTTTCTCCATCTATCACGATGTTGCCTTCTGGTCCAATGGTGAGGACCTCTGTTTTCTTGATGTTGTGATGTTGCTTATGTTGAAGGATGTAGTCTTTGATATTCTGGAATAAGAGTTTCAAGTACTCATTTTACATTAGCAAATTTTCTTAAATATGCTAATTATTCATTAGTAAATGTCTAAAACTAATTGCAAAGATGATTTTGTTACTTAGATCTTCCTTAAATACATTTCTTAACTAAAAGTTATGATCCAGGGATAGGAAGTTTCACACCATAACAGTTTCTTTAACTGTGTATTTTTGTAGCACATTTCCTGTTTATGTTCAACATTTAATAAAGTCTTCCTGAAACTGATTTTAAGTCAATCTGCAAGAAATATAAGCACATAATTCTCACTATAATGTAGTTCAAACACTTCAGCAACAAGTTCTCAGTACTAGTTAGAAGATTCTGTTTTATTTCACATACCTACTTTTTAGTAAAGTGTGAACAAGAAATGAAATTCTTAACTGAAGAACCAACTCTTTCAAACATAAACTATTCTTGTGTACCCTAAGAACATTTTCATTACAATTAAATATGGGAAATATAAAACAAGTTCTATTTCTGTTGGCACTTTCAACAATGCACAAAAGCAAAAGAAATTCATGAATTAACATCAAATAAAGCCACAAAAGATGAAACTAAACATATAGCATACTTTTGTTATGTTTTTATATTACTATTAAAATGAAAACAAAATATTTAACTTTCAGTCAAAAAAAGGAGCAGTCTGGGCCACCAATTTTGACATACTCCAAATTAAATTTTTCTTTTTAAAAAAAAATATGTGAGCTTATTTATTTGCCACACATAGAAAATTCTATTTCTGACTGGATTCAGATTTGGAGGTAGAAGCGCTCAGAGAGGACAGCCTCCGTCTCTTGGCAATCTGCTCCTGGTGTTTCTCTTTGGCCTCCTTCATTCTCTTGGCCAAACGCTTAGGGTACTCTGCAGCCTCCTCCTTACTCTTCTTGGTGCGCTGTTTCTTCAGCGGAATGCGCCGGCACTTGTGCTGCAGGACACGTGGAGTAACAAGACGATAAATCTCAGACGCTTTGGTTCTGGGTGTCTTGCCTTCTTTGTTCAGTGGCTTTCTCACAACATACTGACGGACATCATCTTCCTTGGAGAGGCTGAAGAGTTTGAGAATTCTGCTGGCTCTCTTGGGCCCCAGGCGATGTGGCACAGTGGTATCAGTCAATCCTGGGATATCCTTCTCCCTTTTCTTGACAATGACCAAGTTGAGAACACTCAGATTGGCATTCACAATGCAATCCGGACAGATTTGCACTTCCTCTCTCAGTTCTCCGTGGTCACAAGAAAGCCCCTTACTCAGCAGCAGGCAAACTCAGCCACGGGTCAAGACACCTTGACCTTTTCATGGGAAAACCTTGCTTGTTGTTTCCACCACTGATCCGGACAACATATCCCTTCCACTCGTCACCGAGAGAGTCAGCAGCAACTTCTGTGACCATTAGCTTCTCATAAAATGTACAAAGTGTGCGTTCATCGTCCACCTCAAAGAGTTTCTGGCAGCCAGTGGCTGGGAAAGAGATGTTCAGCTTCATGGTGAAGCAGCCGACGGCCCTAGCGGCGCCACAAAAAAGAGCAAATTAACTTTTTTAATTAGCAAAACTATACATAAGCCTACACTGTAATCCTATAATCCTTGAATGTTTATTATTCAATAATAATGTTGATTCAATATATTATTCAATATCATGTAAGGATAGTAACAACAGTTTACTTCACGTGGTGGAACAGAGCTAAATGAACACTTTCTGGTAAACCTCTGACACTCTTTTTAACGCTGTAGCTCATAAACATCTACCAGCAATGTCTCGACTTAAAAGCTTTCTTTTCCTCCAATATAACTAAAATATTACAATAAGCAAAGGCTCAGGATTCAAATCCACCAACTGCTCTGCAATAGAAAGATGGGCAATCTCCTCCCTTGGGATTTGCAGTCTCTGAAAACTTGCTCTCAGGTGAACTGCAGCTTCTAACTTAACAGCAAAGTGTTTGTTTTTGAGATTAAACACCTATGGATAGTGCTAGATAGTCTCAACCCTACAGTCAGTGTTTATTTAGTCAGACTATACTGTATTAATGCATCGTTTAAAAAAGTATTCATCCTATGATTCCACGGAGTTAAGTGGCACAAAAAATGCTGAAGTGCTGTTCAGCTGATATCTGAAAGGTCAGCAGTTTCAATTAAATCAGGGGCAGCTAAGAGGAAATGTTTGCCAATTTAGTTTTGCAAGACCTTGTTACTGTTGCTAGGTCCCATGAGTCAAGTTTTGACTCATAGTGATCCTATCATCAACAGATCTGAACCCTGTCATAGCCTGTGCCATCCTCACCATCTCTGATACACTTAAGCCTACTCATTGGTTCAGCCAGTGAATCAATCCACCTGGTTGAGAGTCTTCCCTTCTTTTGCCAACCCTCCACCTTTTCAAGCATGATATCTTTTTCCAAGTAAAAGCCTCCCCTAGCAACATGCCCAAAGTGTGTGAGACAAAGCTTTGCCATCTTTGCCTCCAAGAAACTTTCTGGCCACATTTTTTTCCAAGACATATCTCTTTGTTCTTTTGCAGTTCATGGATGATCAGAACTTTTCTCCAACTCCACAACCCAAAGGCATCAATTCTTCTGTTATCCTTATTTGCTGTCCAGTTTTCAGATGCACAGAAAATCACCAAAAAGATCAGCCTGAATTAGACACACCTTAGTTTTCAAACAAACATCATTGGTCTTCAATACCCTGAAGAGGTTCCTGACAATGGACTTGCCTAATGCAACATGTCTCCTGGTTTCTTGACCACTGGTACCAAGAAAGTTGAGTGTGGATCCAAGCAAGAGGAAGTTGTAAATCCCACAAAGTGTAGTTCTGCTCTGATGCATGCCCTGGAACTGATTCAATGACAGGTACCTGGTTTGTCTTTGTTGTTTTATGTTTCTTGTTGATTTCATTAGTCAGGTACGTGGTTTATGTTTATTGTTTTGTGTTTCTTGTTGATTTCATCAGTGTTTCCGCAACATCTCCTACTGACTCCAATTCCAAAAATGATTCAAGATAAGGTAAAGAGTAACTTTATCTTCTCTAAAATATTTTTGCTTAATTAACATTTATATTGACATTTATGTATCATACGTTAGAACTGTAAATAAGGTAACAGAGAAATTAGTAAAATTTATTTTCTTTTTATACTAGATCCAAAATTGACACAAAAAGGAAGTGTTAACCTACCTGTCATAGCGTAGAGTTTGAGGAGAATGACCATTAAATTTGGGACTGCTTCTAGAAATTGTATTCCCTGGAGAGATGTTATTTATGCGCTGTAATGTAAAAATAACCTTGTTATTTCATGCACAATTTTCAAGATATTGTTTTATCTGCAGTAAATTATTCATCTTCTTAAGTCATAACTAAGACCTTAGCTTGTCAAATAAGCAATGACAATCATCAAAATCAAGGAAACATTACAGCAAGATAAGGAAATGCAAGTGTTCTCGCTGCACTGTGTCTTAAGTTCAAATCCCAATGCAGGACTCTCACTCCTCAGATTCACCAGACCCCTTCATCAACCACTGCCAACACCCTCACACTTGTCCCTTCTCAGGCTACAGTTTGGCTTAGTGAGTGATCCCTGCATATTTAGAGTTATGTATACAACTCTTAGAACCCAGCCTTGCAATCAGACCCAAAGGTGCCAGTACAGCTTTAAGGTAAGTTGTCTAGGAAACAATGGAAAAACTCAACTCACTACCATAGAGGTTGGCCCTCCAGCAAAGGAGGCAAATCAGTGGGGAGTAGATTGTCTATCTTTCTCCTGTGAAGCTGCTGGTAGATCTGGAGCACCAGAGAAGTGTGGCCTTTGAGTTACCAGCTCAACTCCCTCATATACTCCAAATGCAGGAAGTTCCGAAAACCAATGAGCCACTAAGATGAAGAATCTGATAGGCTTTCATCTGAACAGTATTTTATTGTTACCTTCATAAAACTTTCCACTTTTTTCTATTGCTATCCTGTACATCTTAACTCCCTATGATTTATTATTTCTCTTCCCAGGCAAGCTAATACAAAACCATCTAATACAAAAGTTCACTAATATCTAAGCATTTCTATAGTAGGGTAGCAGAAAATTTTAATTTGGAAAAAATGCTCCTCTTATTATATGGATATAGCTTCTCCCTTCTATAATGATCTGCACTAAATTCTCTTCCAAGAATATACACAATTTCCATTACCTACAGAATATTCTACCACTAGGTAGAATCAAATGTATTGGAAATTACACTGCATACCAAAGATCTGTTGAATTTGCTGTAGCTGCTTTCCAGAGCACTTCTCAGCCCATCATTGCTGTCATGGAGTTTCCGGTTAGCTGTTCTACAGAATAAACAAACAAAAAATAAATAGCATGAGCAGCTGATGAGCCATGAACAGATGGACAGATCTGGATGTGGAATTACCGCCTCTTATAGCCTCCTACCCCTTTCCTTTAAACTGTACACACTGAGATAACTTATATTTGGACTGTAATGCAGTAATTTACTTACCTCTTTGTAAACTGTCATGGCATTTTATGAATAAATTAGTTGTGTGTGTGGGAACTTAACTCTTTCCTCCCAGAGTTCCGGTGTGTGACCAGGTTACATGTTCCATTTCCTAAATGTGTGACATCTGCTGCTCTCAGGGACCTCCTGACATGTCCAGCAGTCACAGAACAGTACACTGGGCCCCGCTTTCTTCTCCGGCTCCTCCTGTAGTCTATGCATGGCCTGGTCCTCTTCTACCAGTCTCTATCGTTGGCAGTAAATGGCTCAGATGTTACCTCAGACCCCTGAGTTCAAATCCCAGCTCAGGTACTTGCCTTCCAATGAAAGTCTCACCATCAAGTTGTTTCTGACCGATAGTGATCACATGGATGTCGGGGGTTTTAAAGGCTGGCTTTCTGGAAGTAGACAGTGAGTTCTTTCTTCTGAGGTACCTCTGAGTGAACGCAATCCTTCAGCATTGCAGGCAGTAGCTAAGTTTGTTAGCTCTTTGCACTCTGAAAAGCAGCTCCATCTTCAGAGCCCCTGCCTCACAGAGCCGCTCCTCTTCACCCCCCTCCCCACCTGTCCTTTATCTCAATCATCACTTCCTCCAGGAATACTCTGACCTTGCTGGTTATGGTGTGAATCTTTCCTTTGCTTAATCTCTTTCCTTTGGCATTCTGCATTCATTTCTATAATTGCCCATCAGTTCTTAGTCCTGTGAGGATCTGTTTTGTCCTACTTACCCATGGCAAGTGGATCCATCACTCAATCTTTAAAAAATCAGTAACTCGTGTTATATAAGACACATCTTTTAGGATATTTTTTAACGTAAATTTCAAATGTAATGGTCATTTTGTCTGCAAACTTACTGGAGTATTTCAATTTGCCTCTCAAGATTATTCCGATCTTCTGTGTACTCTCGAATTATCTCCATATCCCTGTAAAATCATATGTTGAATGAAAATTAGGAGTTCAGTCCCACCTCACCTACACCTACCCTCCTAGGCCCTATTCAATGACTCTGTCCACTGGGTTTCTGTGCTGCCTTCTGGAAGGCACACCCAGCTTTCAGGACCAGACACCACCACACCTTGCACCTCTTCCCTAGGCCAGGTTCTGTCCCCTCTGACATCTGCACATGTGCACCTCTCAGGACCCTGGCCTCACTGACTAAAGCCCAAGATCGCCTCCTAAGTCCCTGATGGCCCCTCACTCACAGTAACCTGTCCTCTTAGCCCACTAACCGCTCTGACCTTTGATCCTCCTATGTTAAATCCAAGTTTGGTATCAATCCGGCTCTCTTTGCTTTTTCCTCTCTTGCCCTACCCTGCTGTCCCTGCCCTATTGGCCCAGACTCTCAGGCTTCTGCACCTGGCACTCAGCAACCCCTCCACTGTCTCATTACTGAAGTCTTGGCTTTCTCTTCAAGTGACTATGGAAGCAGCCACCACTCTTCCACCTCAGTCTCTATCTGGGTCCCATAGCTGTGCAGAGCAACTTCTTACATGGCTTCCCATGGTATTTGCCCAGAATACCTGTCTACCCTTACTCCTTCAGTGAGAAATGCTGGGAATGTATGCTATCAAACAGCCTTCCCACCCTCACATGGACCACCTAATCAGCCTTAGGGTGGAAGGATTCCTTGAAATTGGAAGGTGCAAACAAATGCTGGTGAGGTTGTGGAGAGACTGGACCTCTTAATCACTGCTGGTCGGATCATAAAATGGTGCAATAACTATGGAAGGCTGTATGTCAATTTCTCAAAAAGTTGGAAATAGAAATATGTTTTTACCCAGTAATTTCACTGCTAGGATTATACCCTAAAGAAACCAGAGCTGCCACCCAAACAGATATATGCACACCTATGTTTATTGCTGTGTTGTTCACAGTAGCAAAAAGATGGAAGCAACCCAAGTGCCCATCAATGAATGAATGGATAGAGGAGCTGTGGTATATTCAGACAATGGAATACTACACAACACTAATAAACAATGAAGTCATAAAATATTACACAGCATGAGTGACTGTGGAGGACATTATACTGAGTGAAAATATCTCAGTCACAAAAGTATGAATACCACATAACACCACTGTTATGAAACAAGACTGACATGGGGGTTAGGAGAAACAGAAAAGAGGATAAATAATAAACCTTGCATTAGAACAGATGAAGGAAGAATGGTTCAAAAGGAATATATGATTATGCATTATCTGTATGATAACAGTTCAGAATAAGGGGTGTACAGCAAAGTAGACTTGGGAGGGGGGAGGAATGGAGGAAATTATGCAACAATGAACGGGGTTTTTATTTTTTTTTTAAAAAGTGAACAGGGATATGGAGGAAATGTGCAATAATGAATGAATAAAAATCTAACTTCTCCATAAACTTTCATTAAAATCGCAACTTAAAAAAAAACCTACTAGGGAGAGAAAAATAAAATAAAATAAATGAATGAATGGGAAGCTGGGAACTGATTCTTGCTCCAACCTAGTTTCTTCTTCCTTATCAGGAAATCTCCTTCTCTATTCTGGGTATTCTATCCCTTATTCCCCTTCCCTATTCAACATGTAAGAGATTGTGATGGTGCTGCAGGATAGGGCAAAGTTCAGAGATGCTGTTCACAGGGTCACTGTGAGTCAAGGTGAATTCAATGGTAGTCAACAACAACATCATTCTGGGTGCATTTTTTTGCACTGCCTATTACTTAAGCATGCACTGCATGTAAGACTTCTTATACTATTTCAGTCCCCAGGATGCAGGGAAGAAAGTTCCTTTGGCAGCATCAGGGAAGAGGGGTGCATGTAGACCACCACTCCTTCATCAGCTACAGAGAGATACACAGTAGCCATGGGGACAAATATCCACATACAGAAATGATCATTATTGGTCCTTCTCCACTGAAGTAAAGAGTTATTCCTGTGTGAACCATGTCTTTCTTAGTGACCTCAGATTTTGGCTTTCCCAACTGACTGTAGGAATTCCCATTTCTCAGCCAAAACAACTAGGCTCTAACATTATAACTGTTATCTTCTTTTAATCCCCATTTCTTCACTTTTGCTTTTTTATTCAAACCCTTTCTGTTTTCTATTTTTAAACTAGTTTTTATCCTTCTCTGTCTTCTTGCCCTTGTAGGGGGTGCTGTCCCACCCGCAACATCTCTGAGACTCTCTTGTTCCATCTGTAGTGCAGGGTTAATGAAAGTCCCCATGGCAGAGAAGGTTGTGGAAAGAAGTGCACTGATGGCAACGCAGTGTGAAGGGTGATGTCCAGCGGGGGACAGTGCTTCCTATTGTAGCTTCTTACTGTCACTTGTGGCCTCTCCTCATGTTTACACACCCAAACCTACCCGCCACCCTCCAGCAGCTCCCCTTTCATAAAGTTCTTCATCTCTGGTGACTGAAAAGAACATTTTTCTCTATGATTAAAATCCAATCAATGCAATCAGGGTCACTGCCACTGGTGGGCTTTTTGGCATAATTTAAACCTTACGTTATTTAACTCTGTGACAGTTCATGTTTTCCCAAGTGAATACAAAGTTCTCAAAGGGCAGAGACTAAGTCTCTTATTGTTTACATACTCTATACACATAACTCATCTAACCTAGGGATGTATATACAGTAAGCATTTCATAAATGTCATTGCTTTCCATTACAGAACTTCAAAGTTGATTAAAGTTTGCAAACAAATAACAAGCAAGCTCTGTCTTCTATTTGCACCTAATCAAACCAAATCTATCACTGTCCAGTTGATTCCAACTCACTGTGACTCAATGTCAAAGTAGAGATACCTCACAGGGTTTCCAAAACTGTAATATTTACAAAAGCAAACTGCTACATCTTTCTGCCACAGAATAGTTAGTTTAATCTGCTGATCTTTTTGTTATCAGTCAAGCACTTGGCTTCTGTGCACGCATGTGTGTGTGTTGGGTCTTATGAGTAGCATACATGGGAAAATAAAATTACTTACCTAAGAGACCTTCCATTGTTTTATTGTACAGCTAGGATTCCCACTTTCAAAGCATTTCAGTTTCTACTGACTGACATGTTGGAGTACTCATCTGGTCCATGTGAATTCAATTTTTTTTATTAATTTTAATGAAAGTTTACAGAGACTTAGGGTTTCCATTCATTCATTGTTGCACTTTTATCCCTGTCCACCCCTCCCCCAATTCGCTCTTCTCTTTGAAAAATAAAAGAAAAATTCTTTCATTGTTATACAATCCCTCCTCCCAAGTCCACTCCACTGTGCAGCCTTCATTCTGGACTGCTGTCATGACAATAATACCTAATCACATATCTCTTTTAAACAGTTCAATTCAAATTTTATTAAACTACTTGCTATGCTTTGCTTCCAAAAATTAATGTGTGCTTGACCTCTTTTTAAATAATGAAAAATATAAAAATATGTATCTATATAGTTTGGAAGTAGGAGTGGCATCCACTTCATAAGCAACATGCCTCAGGAAACTATGAACTTTGATAAATGTCTATAGGCTTTCAGGCCTTTTGTTCATAGGGTTGCTATGAGTCATGCTCTAATCGAAGGTAATCAACATCTATATGAAAGTAAAAGCCAATTAGTAAAGTTGACAAATCACTTTTTTAAGAAACAATTTATCATTTGCATATGTTATCACCTGCAAATCATCATTCCATTCAAACTAAAAAAATGCAGTTTCATACCTTTCAGAATTCAGGCTTTGATCAGCATAATCACTTTTCAAAGCATCTAATTCACTCTGAAGAAAGGCTATGCTCGTCTGTGCTTCTAAAAGATCTTTCTTCACTTTCTCATTTTCCTGGAGAAAAGCAAGAGCAGAGTCATTAGTCTCAACTTCTTCAACCTGCAAGGAGGGTTCACATAACTCCTACCCCTCCACAATTCTAAATCTGGTGTCCCAAGACCAAATGATCAAATCAATGTAATCTGAAATTATCATGAATTATTAAAGTATCAAAAATCTAAATCCTCCAAGCTGTTCAAAGCTGTTTGTTTTTATAATCTTTACTGGCACCAAATGACAACAGTCAAGAGTCAAGAGTCAAGCTGCACTTTAACATGCTATTGTCCAAACAACTTAGATCAAACATTTGAACACCAGCTTAATTTAATGACAGCTATAAAATTAATAAACATTCTACAGAATCAACAGTACATATCACAAAGTAGAATGACTTTGCATTGTAGTAAATTTGATTACAAAGCATTACTAAAGTTTTATGCTAAAACAAAGCACTGTGGTGAGAAAAATTATTTTTTCTTCAAAAAAAACCTATCAGTGTAGACTTCTGGTTCAAAATGATGAACTGAGCATATCAGTTCGTCTTTATCCTTCCTGAAAATCATTAATATGAAATAAGAAAGGAGTTCAAATGGAAAGTGAATGTCAAGGCTGTAACACAGTGAAGGGCTAAGATCCTGACAGAGGGTTGAAGGTTCTGATATGGAAAGAGGTAGAATCCAGTATCACGGCTATGAGAGAGGGCTGAAAATAGATTTCAGAGAAAGTTTCTGAGTCACTTCTGATATTTCTTTCCCTCCCACCTTTTTAAAGACTTTGTGATTTTTCATGTATGCTGTCCTTCATGACAACTCATCTTTTCTCTTTGGTCATTAATATGTTGTTGTGTCATCCAGTTGACTACTACTTACAGCAATTCTCTGAACAACAGATCTGGATCTTGACTATACAGTGCCAATCCCACCAAGCTGTTATGCGCTATGTTCCAGTCCAATGTGACAGTTTCTGTATGAATCTGTCTTATTGAGGATCTGCCTATCTTTTTCTGACCCTCCCCCTTTCCCAGCATGTTTCCTTTCCCTGAGAATTAGCCCCTCCTGAAAACATGCCTCAAGTATGTGACATGAAGTTACACCATTCTGGCCTTGAAGAAGCACCCTGTTTTCACTTTCTCCAAGACAATATTTGTTTGTTCTTTTGGCAATGAATGGGATATTCAGTACTCTTTTCCAACATCATAATACAGAGACACTGATTTTTCTGTCATCATAATTCGCTGTCCAACTTTTAGATGCATAGGAAGCAACTGAAAACAGGATGGCTTGGATCAGGTATACGTTAGTCTTTCAACTGACATAACTGTTCTTTAACAGGGATAAATAGACCCTTGGCAGCAGATCTCCCAATGCAACATGTCTTTTGATTTCTTGACCATGAGTGCCAATTTTGGATCCAAGTAAAATTAAATCATTGACAACTTCAGTCTTTTCTCTATCTCTCATAATGTGGCTTATTACTCCACTGGTGAGGATTTTTATTCTCTTGATGTTGAGTTGTCTTCCATGTCAAAGGCCATAGTCTTTGATCTTCTGTTGTACGTTCTTCAGGACTTCTTCAGTTTCTGCAAGCAAGATTGTTTTATCTGCATAACACGGGCTGCTGATGAGTCTTTTTCCAATCTTGATGCCAAATTTTTCTTCTTATGGTCTACCATCTCTAATTATTTGAATAGGTATGGAGGAAGCTGATTCAACTCTGATAAATGGTTTTCCTGATTGTGCAGCATTTCCTTGTTCTGTTTGGACAGCAGCTGCTTAGTCTCTGTAGTTTTCTCATGACCATGGGTAAGTGTTCTGGGATTCCCATTCTTCTCAATGTTTTCAATAATTTGCTATCATCCACACAGCTAAACACTTCTGCATAGGCAGTAAAGTGCAAGTAAATATCTTTCTGGTATTTTCTGCTTTCAATCTTCTTAGTTACTAGTATACATTACAGCAAATGGGTTCTTAAGATGACCTCTGAATTTAGTTGAGATATACTCAATATAATACTCTGGCTCTTGTGGAATTAATTTAAATTTCTCAGTTTCAACTTCAATTTGCATAGGAGCTATCGATGGTTTCTTTCACATTTGGGCCCTACTCTTATTGTGACTTGGATTCTTACAAATTATGGCTAACATTGAGAAGAATGGGAACTCTAGCACACTTAATTGTGCTCATGCAAAATTTATACCCAGACCAAAGGGCTGTGTGAACAGAGTAAGGTAACAATGTGTGGTGTTGTTATTGTTGTTGTGTACTGTCGAGTCTGAAGCACCCCACAGCTAACCCTCCAGTGGGTTTTCAGAGGCAGTTAATCACACAGGAGATTACCCATCCTTCTCCCGCAAAGCAGCTGGTGGATTTGAACCATGTGCCTTCAGGATTTCAGTGCAGCTTGACACTAGGCCACCAGAAATCAAGAAAGGTGTTTGTCATGGTTGTATCCTCTGTCCATACCTATTCAATCTGTACTCTGACTAAATTATTTGAGAAGCTAGATTCTATGAAGGAAAATGTGGCCTCAGGATGGAAGGAAGACTCCTTAATAATCATTGTAAGGTGCGCCTGATACAGGCCATGGTCTTTGCAATCGCTTGTTATGCCTCAGAGAGTTGGACAATGACTAGGGAGGACAGAAGGAGAGTTGATGCCTTTGAGCTGTGGTGCTGGAGAAGAGTACTGAATGTACCATGGACTGCCAGGAAAACAAACAGATTCATCTTGGAGAGGATTAAACCAAGCTACTCATTGGAGGCAAGGATTCTGGGGCTTCGTCTGACATACTTTGGACTTGTTGCCAGGAGGGACGGGTCCTTGGAGAGGGACATCATGCTTGGTAGGGTGGAGGGACAGCGCAGGAGGGGAAGACCCTCTATGAGATGGATTGATTTGGTGACTGGGGTAATCAGGATGGGTGTGTCAGAGGCAGTGCGGTTGGCGCAGGATAGAGGAGGGTTTAGGGCTGTTGTGCATAGGGTCGCTATGAGTCGCAAACGACTCGACGGCACATAACAACAACAACAACATGCAGACGGCACATCTTGCTTGATCAAAGTGAGGAGGACTTGAGGTGCTTGCTTCCAAAGAGCAAATTGTACCTCAAGAAAAGAGAAATTCTCATGACTTGACTGAAAGGCAACATCATGATTGATGGAGAAAAAAATGAAACAGTCAACAACTTCATCTCATTTGAATCCACAGTCAACACTCTTGGTACCAGCAGTCAGGAGATCAAGAGGCACACTGCATTGGGAAAGTTTGAAGTCAGGGATCTCTTCAAATTATTAAGGAGTAAGATGTCGGTTTTAGGACTAAGATGTGCCTGATTCAGGCCTTGACTTTTTCAATCACTTGTTATGCATCAGAGAGCTGGACAATAAATAAAGATGAGAGAAGTAGAATTGATGCCTTTGGGTTGTGGTGTTGGAGAAGAGTACTGAATATCCCCTGGAATGCCAAAAGAGCAAACAGATATGTGTTGGAGAAGGAGCAGCCAAAACACTCCTTACAGCCAATGAGGTTGAAGTTTGTCACATATATTTTGGGCATGTTGTTAGGTGAGACTATTTTTTGGAGAGGAACATCACACTTGGAAAGGCTGAGGATTAATGAAAGAGAAGAACAGATCAATTTACACAGTGACTGTAGCAAGTGGCTCAAGTGTATCAGAGATGGGGAAGATGGCACAGGATAGGACAGGGTTCAGGTTGAAGTCGTACTTGATTTGACAACACCTAACAACAACATGTCCTGATAGATGATACTGAACTTCTCTCCTCTCTCTTTTCACAGTTGTAGTTGATCTGATTCTTGCGCATTTCATGAAAATATATAGAAAGAAATACATCACTGATTATGTCTTTTTAAAAAGGCATTTTTAATGAGTAATTTGTTGACAGTAGAAAATTTATTGTGTGATTTTCAGTATCATTTCTATCACCAAGTATTCCAACTTAACTTTTGCATTCCAATTACCTGTTGTTATTAATTTATCTTAATTACATCTGAATATATTTCAGACTGCACAAGCTGGAAGAAAGCTTCAATTTCTTCATCTTTGCCTTTAGTTGATACATGTACTAGAATAATAATAATATTAACTTATATTATTCTAGACTGCCAAAGACAGCCAGAAATGCACAATCTGGAGAGGATAAAATTGATGAAAGGGACCTTCTAAAGATTAAATCCATGTGGTCATCAAAACTTCTTTCCAACAGGGTGAAAATAATACCTACAGACTGGAAACAAACATTGGGTAATACCATGTCAGACAAGTCTCATAATGAAAGTTTACAGAATACTCCTGGGCTTCCACAAGAAAAAGACTGATAAGCCAATTACAAAATGGGCAAAATATATGGAAAAAATTTTCACAGAGGAAGATATTAAAATGAAAAACAGACACATGAAGAAATGTTCTAAATCACTGGCAATAAGAGAGATGGCAAAATAAAAACCACAATGAGGTACCATCTCACTCCAGTAACTGAAGCAAAGTTTAATTGGGCAGCAAGTAATAAATGTTGGCGAGGATGTGGTGAGATGGAAATTCTAGTATATTGGTGGGATTGTAAAGTGTTACAACCATTCTGGAAAGCTGCTTGGCGCTTCCTCAAAAAGCTGAATATAGAAATTCTATATGACCCAGGTATCCCACTACTTGGAACACACTCTGAGAAAATGAGAACTGAGGCGCAAAAGGAGACTTGTACACCAATGTTCAAAGCAGCATTATTCACCATCACAAGAACATGGAGACAGCCCAGATGTCCAACCACAAATGAATAGACTGATAAATTATGGTATATTCATACAATGGAATACTACACAGCACACAGGAGCAATGATTTTATAAATTATTACCTAACCTGGGAGGGACTGGAGAGCATTATGCTGAATGAACTAACTCAGTTCCACAAGGACAAATATTATATAAAACCATTATTGTAGAATGAGTATAAGTATTTAAGGGGAGGAAAGGGTGAAAGCAGAGGGATAAGGATGTGCGGGGCGGGGGATTAATCATGTAGTGGTATGACTGGATGGGTGGGAGGGTGAGGGAAATTGGAAGAATCTGTTCTGGAAAACAAATGTATTTGAATTTTGTAAATAAACTAGTTTAACTAAAAGATATAAATTTTATCCTCTCCAGATCGTGCATTTCTGGCTATATTTGGCAGTTTCTTTATACTGTAGATTATGCAGTCCAAGCTTGATTCCAGTTTGTCTCTTATGACCTTTATGGTTTTGGGCTTTACTCCCAGGTCTCAGATTCCTCTTGAGTTGATTTTTGTATATGATGTGAGATGTGGATCCTGTTTCAGCTTTCTGCAGGTAGTAGTGCAGTGTTGTTCTTTTTTTTTTTGTTTTGTTTTTTGGTGTTTTTTTTAAGCAGTGCAGTTTTTGCCAGCACCATTTGTTGAAGAAGTTGTCCTTTCTGAATTTGATAGGTTTTGTTTCCTTGTTGAATCAAATGGATTGAGAAATTATGGTACATTTACACAATGGAATACTACACAGCACACGGGAGAATATTATGCTAAGTGGACTAACTCAGTTTCATAAGGGCAAATACCACTACTGTGAAAACAGAAAGATAACTAATAAAACATGTATTAGGATCCAAGTTTGGGAGAAGGGGAGCAGAGGGGTGAGGATGAGTGGGTGTGATCATAGGTCTCCCAATTTGAGGGGTAGACGGAGGGGTGGGTAAAGGAAATGGGAGAGATCCGGTGTGAAAAACAATGTATATGAACTTTGTAACTAAACCAGTATAAAATAAAAATTCTATTTTTAAAAAACATTTACTTGGTTAAACTCCATAGGGAGTTGCACAAACTCCTCAGGTAGTTGCACTGCTAGCCCAGATGCTCCTCCTCTGAGGGGAAAGTCTACATAAACGAGACTTTAGCTCTAAGAGGTTTCACTGCTTTTCCAAAGGGGCAAGCTCCTCCTGTGCAATTAACAGGTTCTAAAAACCTCCTGGAGGGATAAGACCACAATTATTACATTAATTTACTTTAAGCCTCTATGCCTGGAATACTTAAATAATAGCATGATGATGCTGAGAAAATTGCAATCTAATACTTGTAAATGAAAAGATGATTCTTACCATTGATAAATCATAAATTTGTTTTTTCAATGCTGCCACATGCTCTCTTTGACTTATGTGTTTTGATTGTTCTTCTAGCTGAAAAAGCAGATGGAAATAACACATTAGCGAGTCCACTTGGAACTGATCTGGTTATACTTAAGAACATCCTAAAATGGAATTCTTTACATCTTGAATTTTCAACATCATAATTAGCTGTGTGACTCTGAACAAGCTATTTAAACTCTCTGGAAATCAGTGTCATCACCTCTGAAAGAAAGTTTAAAATTTTGTATGCTTATCTTTGGAAAAGAACCTAATAAGGTCAACAAAATTAAGCTATTGTGATTATGGAAACAGTTATTATTAAGCTATTCGGCATATAAGGAACTTAAGTTAAAGATGAAGTTAACGTCCCAGGTGTTAGAGCAGAAAGGTCCATGGTCTAGTGAAGGATTGACATCTCATTACTATTGACTCAGGCTCTTTTCTGTTCCATGCTTTTTAGGGTTTGATTTGTGCCCCTCAAAAAGATCTATTAATGTGCTAATTTCCAGTACCTGTGTTGTTGCTATGCACCGTCAACTCACAAGCAACTGACCCTCCAGTAGTCAGAAGTTGTATAATAAGAAGACTGCCCATCTTTCTCCTGTGGAGCAGGTGACGTATTTGAACTGCATGGCTCTGGGTTGGCAGTTCCTTACCACTAAGTTCTGCATGCCCTTATATGGAAATAGTGTAGTAGCAGATATAATTCGTTAATATGAGGCCATTTTAGAGTAAACATTAATCTACTGTGATCAATGTGCTTGTAAGAACAAAAGAATCACAGAAACACGTAACACGTGACAATGAAGGCAAAGATGGAGTGGTCCATCTACAAGCCAAGGATACCAAGGATTGTGGGAAACCTTGGGGGCTATGAGAAAGGAATGGAACACTCTCCCTTAAAGCACTTCAGAAGGAAGCAACACCTTGACTTCAGACTTCTAGCCTCCAGACTAGTAAGAGAATGCATTTCTCTTGTTATAAGCCATGTATGTGAGGATATATTGTTATGGTAGCTCCAGATCATTAATACAGTGTCTATTAGCACTACCTTGTCTGTTATATCAAGACAAGGCATGCTGTGTCTGTCCTTGTATATATATTTCCTAAAGATTTTGGAAGCCACAGAAATAAGTGAAGACAGCAACTAGGAGAATCTATGACTCTGATATAAAAAGATAATTAATTCAAATTTGTCAAAACAAATATAAGTCTAATGATGTCTGAAAATAAAATATAATTAATGTAGATATTGATAATGATTTCCAAGAAGGCAACTGAGAGGAATTTTTAATAATCTCAGGGGATTTGGTGGAAGTTACATAAAAAGAATAGGAATCCCTCACTTAATCTCACTGAATATAAACCCTGGAAAGATCAGTGAAGGTTATCAGATGAATTACTAGAGAGGCAAAGTGATCTGTCCTGAGGTCACAATGCTACTTTGAGAGATGACATTTTTTAGATATAAACTTCATTTTAGCTATTTCCACTAATTATGGACAACTGAAACATAAGAAGTGGAAACAATGTGTGTACCCGATTGTGAGAGAGCCGATTTCAAGCTCAGTGTTAGCCTCAATCACTCAGTCACTGCCACGTGCCACTGAGTCAGAACCAGCTCATAACAGCCTTCCCAGTGGCGTTCCCAGCACAGGAGTCACTGGTGGATTCAAGCCAGAGAGGCTGCACCTTTGGGTCAGCAGCACAACCCTCTGTGGACTACGCCACCAGAGCTCTGTCGTCAACCTGGTAGCCTGAAATCGGTAATTGGTGGGAGTATTTACACAGCAGAAATTGGCAAAGAAAAAAATAAGAAATTGGTAAATGGTATAAATGGAAGCTTTTTTATCTTCAACTGCCATTGGTAAGGACACTAGACCCTGCTCATTAGAAACAAATTAAAACAGTAGCCAAAATCCCATCAGATCTTTGCTCATACTTCAACAAATTATTTTCCACCTCTTGCTAAACAGGGGCCCTTGACATATGGAAGTTTCTACACAGAAGAGGAATATTCACTTAATCTGAATCCACACTCACTGAATACCTGACACTAAGGTGAGGCCATGTGCCTGAAACTAAGGTGAGGAAGCTGTAACAAGACAGAAAGCACCTGCTGTCTCGATGCAGTCAGCCAGACAGTTGACCTGGTTGATGATGATTACAGAAAGCTAATCAAGATTTAATGAACAACTGTTAAAAGGATCAAAAAAGAATATCTAATATAGTAGGTGGCCCTGGAGCTAGGAGAGGAACTAAGAGGCTCTTTAAGGGGAAAAAAAAGTTTTTTCAAGTAGTCCAACTTGACTTTGAACTCTGACCTCACCTTCCACTGAGGCATGATGTCAAATACACTGAGATGCAGAGACTACTCCAGAGGCCACAGTCCTACCTTTTTGAGCTTTTTGATCGTCACCTGCAGATCTCCTACTTCTGTTTCATACTGACGTCGGAGGTCACTCAGGGCTTCTTCAGCTTTGCGCTTTTCCTAGAAGAGTTAATGTAGCATATCTATGGGACTGATTTAAATAAACCTCTAAAAATAAACCACATAAGTGAGAATCTTTTATACCAAAACAGCCTGGCCCCAAGTGTGAGGATGAGAAGGCAGCTTTAGGTGTAAGGCTGTTCTGGAACTGAAGCCCAGACAAGAGGAAGAACTTCAGTGTCCTGACACAAACACACAGTCCTGGGGGACACATCTGAGACTACTGCTCACACTGTGAAAGGCCACACAACACTAACCAGTCAATCAGTCAGTACGAGGTACATTGTTTTTAAATTAACTGATGGTACAGCTAAAGTTATTCAACTGGGCAACATGTGGAAGTTATCAGAGATGGCTTCACAAGAACGCTAAGATTCAAATTCAGTCGTGATTAGTAGGATCTGATTCAAGTCTCAATTAAAAAAGAACATTTTATAGTGTTCTCTTCCAGGAGAGAACAGAGAAGGTTTTTTCATTTCTTTCCTGGAAATCATAGCTACTCCCTCCCTGCTACTCCCTCCCCCACCTCCTCTCATCCAGTTCCATCTAGAAAGAGAACCTAGTTGTGCTTGTCTGGCTCCTAGTAGACACCAAGGTTCAGAGCAGCAATTACCATTCAAGAATCTGTGTGAAAGGAGCCCTGGTGGTTCAGAAAATGGGAAGGTCAGTGGTTCAAGCTCACCAGCTGCTCTATGGGAGAGAAAAGAGGCCATGTGTTCTATAAAGCAGTTCTGCTCTGTCCTGTAGAGATTCTACAAACCAGAACTGATTCAAAGACAACCGTTTTTGTTGCGGTGTTTAATCTCACGGGACTTGCCACATGCCACAAAAACCTCTCCAATCAGTAACCATCAAAGAGGAAAAGGTCATTTTATGGGAGGTCACCATGGCATCGACTGAAGAGAATCATAAATGGTTCCCACAGCTGGCTAAGGCATGCCTAAAATGGAGCAGACAACACAGAAACTCTGTTTCTATACCACAAAAAAGAAAAACAGAAAAGTTGCCATTAAATAGATATCCAGAGGTAGCTGTGCTGCTAACCCCAAAATTCTGGAGGTTCAAATCCATGGGGTTCCGACGGAGAAAAGCAGGTAATCTCTCGTGTGACTGACAGCTTCTGAAAGCCTTCTGATAGGTCAACTACAAGCCAGCTCCAACTGGACAGCAATTGAAGAGTTATTTCACTTTTGACAATTTCAAAGAACTCTCTGACCTGAGGCAGCGGCCTCCATCAGCCACGGCCTATCCCACATGCGGCCTTCCTTACTTCCGTCGCCACCACAGTCCCTGCTATTTCACGCCACTGACTAGATCTGTATGACTGCAGGTTTATTACCAGTCTCCTTATCCTAGTTGAAACAAAACCAAACCAAACAATAACCACCACCATCAATAAAAACACTCACTCTGAGTGTACACAGGGAAGCCTGGACTTGCAGCATCCAAGCCGCAGCAGCTTAAGCTCATAAAGTGTGTTTGGTGAAATGTACTGAATTCTCTGCCGAACCCAGCAACTCACATCTTTTCGTGTCTTGTGCTCTGCAGCCTGAATCCGCTGATCCATTTCCTCTTCCAGTTCGCTCAACTGTATGGCTGCCTTGTCCTGGGCTCTGAAAGTCAACAAGATGTGTGTTTTTTTCTTTATATTCTTATGATCATAACATACAGAGAAGACCTACAACACGTCCATTTCAAGTCCCCCATTGTCTTAACCAATCAGTCGTGGACTCAACTCTGACTAATGACAGCCCCACACGTGCCAAACCAGAACTGTGCTCCTGGGTTTTCCTCGGCTGGTTTTGTGGAAGTAGATGGCTAAGCCTTCCTGAGATTTCTCTGGGTGGACCTGAACCATCAACCTTTCTTTCAGCCAGCAGCCAAGCACATTAACTATGCTTAACAAAAGACCCTTAGATAAGGCTACTTTTAATGACAGATTTTAGGGTGGGTTTTTTTTTTCTTTCTACCACATCTCCTTGAAAGTGGAACTTACCTACATGATAGACTTGCTGGCTAACTCAACTTTCCTCCTGCTGCCTTCGTGTAGAAAAGCTCTTAAGTCCTGAGATTAAATCTTTATCTTAAAGAACTCAGGTGGAGTGATGGGAAAGGAAGAGTTGCTAATCAAAAGGTTTGAATCCGCTCAGCGGCTCCATCGAAGAAAATTCTGTTCTTCTGCTTCTGTCAAGATTACAGAGGGGGACCCTTGGGGGGGGGTACGTCTATTCAATCACATGGTGTTGCTATCAAATGGAATCAACTCACTGACATTCAACAGGAGCACTAATGCACCAGGCATCTCATTCCATTTAGCACATGACCCAAACAGCAAGTTAAAGGATCTATGCACAACCTCCACTACCTGTCTTAGTTTGTCCCACTGTGATGGGTTGGCTGTTGTTGTTGGAAGCTATGCCACCAGTATTTAAAATACGAGTAAGGAGAGCTACTAAGGACAAGTTTCTACAAAATCTTCGACTAAGAACACTGACTTGGAAATCTACTCCTGAAAATTAATCAGAAAAAAAAATAAGCATCACAACAGAATACTGTCTATCCAGTTCACTTGTTTGGGACAAGTCATTCAGGAGCAAAATGGCTGGAAGAGTACTTCATGTTCAGTGAAGTAGGCGGCCAAGCGAGCGTAAGGGAGACACTCTCACCAGTGTACAGCGAGGACGGACTGGAACATGCTGGCCATATTGAGGCTGCCATGGGACTGGACAGTACGTGCCCTGCTGTATACAAGCTGCCAGGAGGTAGAGCCGCCTGGCAGTCAACAACATGCACCACTAAGGACAGCAGGATGCCAGTACCTTTTCACTGCAATGGCCAGGTTTTCCATCTCAGCGCTCTGCAGTTTGATCTCTCGGATAAAGTTCTTTATAACATGTTCATAGGGCTGAATTAGTCTTGGCTCCACGAGGTTGATGTTTTGATACAGAGTACTAACTTGCTCTTGTCTGTGAAAACAAACAAAAACCCAATTAAATTGGCTGTATCTTTTTCTTTCTCTTCTTTTTTTTTTTTTTTTAAGGCACATGTATGGAATAGTGCCCTGGAAGAGGCACTTAAGAACCAAGGATGGAAAGGGGAATGCCATGGATTGGATTTATTATTATTAAATTGTATTAGTTTTAATGAACATTTACAGGGATTTTGGGTTTTCATTCCTTCATTGCTGCACCATTCTCTCTACCCTCCTC